TCTTTCTATGAATTTTCATCATTTTGTCCAATCATTACAACGACATTGCATTCTCCAGAAAACAACCAAAGTTCACGGTAATATGCTTGCAGGCATCTTGCTTGCTGGCAAATTTACATGCGTTGCTGTGTATGCACAATCTGAATCTTTCTGTGCTTCCAAGTCATGCATTTTTTCCAATAGGCACTCGCTCCCAGAAACCCATAGTCTCTCAGGAGAATTTTGCCCTGTAAACAAGATGGCGTCATACATTATTGTGAAAGGGTTTATTAAATAAAACACAAAAACAACAGTCATGACCACTTTGCGGTAAACAATTGTGGCATTGAAAAGTCCTCAGATTGATTGTTCTGCCAAAGGCACCCCAACAATTTCCAGAGTGAAATTAAAATCCTTAAAGTTGTGCTTCTCACATATTTGGTGACATATCCTTGGGTAACCCTAGACAGAGTTGCTGCCTCCAGACTGTAGCAGGTGTGTGATATTACACACCCTGAAGTAATTGTTGATTAATGAACCATGTTGTGGCAGGAATTTGTCAATGTCTTCAGGGCCTCGGATTTCATGTTGTACAAGGTTTTTTTTCAGTCTAAAGGTGCTTAAAGGGAATGTACAACATTTGCTCTTGCTGCAATTTTTAGTAGTAAATGGGCTTGGGAGATAAGAATGTTATAGCAAATGACTTAAACTGACTTGTTTCACGTTTTGGGCTCGAAGATGCTGGAAAAACCAAGAACAACATCATGTTCTTGTAGTCTGGTTCCCTGACCGACTTAAGATGAAACTGAGCAGTTTGTTGACTTTGGGGAATTGTAAGGTCAGAAAATCAGGCCGGAAGACTTTTACCCCTACACAGGTGTGTAATCAACGCAAAGAAAATGCGGAAAAACAAATAATGAAAAATTAAGAGCAGTTTTTGAAAAAAAGCCAGCTTTTTCCAACGCTGGTCGGCCGACCAGCCTTGGAGAAAAACACAATTTCTCTTGAAAATGTCAACAAACCAGGAGCCATGATTCTACAGGGTTTTTAAAATGTCATTCCCTTACAATCCAGTAAGATATTTCGTGATAATATGATCCTTTCGTTTTTGGATGTTTTGCAAATGTTGTATCTTCCCTTTAAAGGATCATTTGTGATTATTTTCCGTTCCAAGCCACAACATTGCTCAATGTCAAAATTTGAAGTAGGATGCTTGAAGGGACACTGGGTCCTAGAACAGCCCAATTGGGCTACAAAACGTGCTTTGAACGAAATGATGTTAATCTGAAAGAACATTTAAAAGTAGGATATAAACATCCACACAACTATCTTTTCAAAACTGGATGTTTCTGTGTTATTCCTGTATTATGCGTGCGAACGAATTTCGGGGTCCACTTTTGCGACCCCAACAATTCGAGCTGTTTTGATGCTAGTTGTGATTTCTTCTGTAAAGTGATTCGCCTTTTGCGGACGTGTGAGAAACCATATTTTGTGCGTTGGTGATTGGTCACTGCGTGCTGTTCGCGGGCACGGGTGTTGTGTTTATCGTTTGTACATTGACTGAAAGTGAAAACGACAGGAAAAGCATATTTGCACTCCGTCATGTCCGATGTAAACAACCAAGGTTTTTTTTTTTGTCTTTTCTCGGGAACGGTAAGACATTAGGTTGGTTTCCTTTGAACCAGATGTTTGAAATAGGATAAGTAAACGATCACAAACATGACATTTTCGGGGATTTCAGGACCTAGTGCCCCTTTAACAACTAATCTGTCAGTGGCTACAAAACATTTTGAGAAAACGGAAAAGAGAAAACTATGCGCAACTTTTGGGTCCTGGAAGGTTGCTCTAAACGCATGTAAAAAAAAAAGAAGGTAAGCCCACACACATTCTGTTCCGAAACCACCTTCAATGTTGGTTTTCTTCCAATTGATACCATTTTAGGCGAAACAATTTCACAAGGTATCAAATACCAGTCCTGTTGGCACTTTTCGGCAAGGTTTCTGTCATTATATTCGTACATATAGGTCGTTTTCCGGGTATTAACTAAAATGCCTACTTGCCTTTAATGGTAGATCATATCATTTGCAGCTATAGCCAAAAAGTAACTGACGATATTACTGTTGAAAAGCATACTTGGTTTAAAGATAGTAATGACACTAAACTCCCTGTGAAATTATTCTTTCTGGCATGCTGTCATTTTGAAGAAAACAATAAAAGAAGGTCATTTCCAAAGATGTGTCTAGAGACGTATTTTTAGAAATTTCCGTTAGTAGTTTGTTTTTAATTTGGCGAAGCCGTGAATGGGTGTACACAAGTGTTGACACGATATGTACACATGTGCAGTTGCTATAATTCATTGCATGACATCGTGGAGCTGCAATCGGCTGAATGAGAACGTGTCCCGGACGCTGATTTCAAAACATGATTCGACAACTTTTGAATTGAAATCGAGATCCTAGAATATTGTTTTCTTGGAGTATACAGCATTCACTGAGCTAAAACTTCATCAGGTTAGTTGTTAAGCACACTTCTTTGGATTTTGAGCACTTTTGTTGCTTCAAACGAAAAACATGCACAAATGACAAATGCTATACTCTACAAAGCAAACATCCAAGATTTTTACTTTCAAAAACTTTTTCTTGATTTTAACTTGGACTGTTTGATTCAGAAGTTTTCCTTTATAGGCAGCTGTGCCCATGTATTCAAAAGAAATACAAATTGTATACAATTGTATACAATTTGTATTTCTTTTGATGGACTCAACAATAACAACACATGTTGTCGCTCCCTAAAGGTCATATTGGGCAACATGCATCAAACAAAGCTGTCATAGGAGGTGTAATCTGAGTCACCTGAATGCAAACTCTCAATACAAAGCATCATGCTTTGATCATGGCGACTTTCAAATTTTAGAGTTTTGTTGCGCATATGTGTCATCTACACGTACAGGGAAAATGCTATTCAATTTTATCTTACACATCGGTCCCTGTACCGCCCCTAAGTGCCCTGCCTGTCATTAACCTATCGCGGTAGAATCACATCAACGCGTCTTGTGAAATATTGTCCAATTACATGATGGACGCGGAACGCGCAAAATCTGAGACAAACAAAACATAACGTACAAAATTCCATAGGGTTGTCTAAGGGGCGTGGCTAACTCGCAAACGGCGATAGGTCAATTTCTTATAACACCCTACGTGGCCTTCCTACTCCGTGGTTTAAAGGTTTCATCAAGGAGTAAATACAGTGTAGTACAATGTAACACAAATGCTAAAGGGTTAACCCTCTTACTGTTTGAACAGTCACAGACAGTCACACATTCCATCCACTTGCCCTGCCATGCCTTTTACACAGGCTAGTCACCAACAGTCAGATCATATTTCAATATATTCAGTCAACAGACAAAAGCAGGCAAGTGGTAGGCACAGCTGGCTTATCAATCAGCTACAGTCAAAACATAGCTGCATCAAGTTACATAAACTGTCACAGCCAGTCAATCCTGCTTTATGTAGGCAGGGAGCTCTTAACCATTAAAAACTGTCACTCAACTGATTTTGACTGAAAGGACAACTTTGCACAGAATGTATGTTTGCATTGGAGGGTTAGTACAAATTACATGTACTTCAGTGTTAACGTAATAAAATAGCAAGAAATAAATAAAAAAAAAAACCTGAAAAAAAAACAGTTTTGTAGCAAAGCACAAGTCACCAGGCAATTAAAACAAAGGCTAATTTTACTAATATTACAAGTAAAATTCAAATCTAAATTTGTAATAAAAAAAATGAAATCCCCAAAACAGAAATCATATACAAAAAAGACTGGGAAATTGTCCTTTTTGACTTGAGTTAATGCCCTTTGCTCTTTCCTTTACATGTAACCAACAGATTCATCAAATGTTATCTGGCATTTTGATATTTGGTCGTTTATTTTTATCATCTCGTGGAGATAAAGGTACACATCTAAAGTGGTTTTGCTCTTACTGTTCATGACTAAGTACAAATACTACCAGTAGATTTGATTAAGCGGATAATACTCAGAACAATCCATTTTGTGTTCTCCGAGTTTGGCAGTGGTTCCTTTGAAAATGCACTCCATCCTGGCTGTGATTAATTGTGCAGTTTTAAAATTTCTCCACCCATTCTAAGTTATTCCTTTTTTTATAAATTCTTTTTTTGGGGGAAGGGGGGGGGTTAAAATATGTTCTAGTTTTTGTTTATATCATTAAGCTTCATGATTTGGCTCAGGATATTTGCCTGACATTAACTGCTAGAATATCCCCACTTTGGATTTTTGTTAGATTAGTACTTTTTAGTTTTCTTAGCTGTCGGCAATAGATGCTAGTTAATATTCGTAAAAAAAAATATCTTTTTAAAATTTCAGCTTCCACTAATCATTTCTTATCAAAAAAAGCAAAAGATCACAAACACATGGAAACAGAAGGATTTTAACTGAATCATATGCACGCACATGTATCACATCACAAGAAGTAGTGACTGAATTACAAGTTTGTTTTTCGACTGAAACCAGATATATTTTTCTTTCCTGTAATTGTTTCGCTGACCCTCCAATTAAGAGGAAGTGAAGCGTGTTGTGGTTTGAGCCAAGTCAAGTGGAAACTAGGAACGAGGCAAACACAATTACACCTGTTTTTATAACAGGATCTACCTGCTTTCAAAGAAGGAACTCGAAACTCAAAGAAGGAACTTGAAACTTTGTCAAATTAGCGGCAAAGTTGTTCCCGCCGTCTCAGTTAACACCGGATTGTGTATCAACTCATGTGCAAAATTTGCAATCGGACTGAGCATTTTTTTATGACTTTGCTTCTCTGTAAACCAGCAGAGTTGTGCTTCAATGCATGTTGACCTTATTTTGGCTCTATAACCTTGGAAACCATAGCCTAAGGAAAGAGTCCATGGAATCCTGAGCTTCTCTTTTCCAGGGAACAACAAACCCCCGTGGCTATGTTTGTCCCTGCTATCCCACTTATTAATTCTTTCCCTTTTTTTTTTTTTCTTTTTCAGTTCTCTATACCCAGGTATTTGAACAAATACAGGTACAATCAAAGCGTAGGATGGGCTATTCATTCCGTTTAACGCATCGTGGGCCCCGGTAAATACCTTCAAGCAGAGCTCTGTGTTCCAGGCCAACAAAATAGAAATACCAGATTGTACTTTCTCTAATCTGATATTTTTTGGCATCAGCAACAAGTCAGACGTGCATATTGTGTGACACTCGATCCGTGTGCCAGTATAACTCACTGCAATTGTCATGGGAGTTAAACTTTGGATGGTTTGATATCTGCCAACTTTAAAATGTGCTGGTTATGAGGAAATATCATCTTTTGTCCACATTTGCCCCACTAGTGATTGAAGCTGAGTATCTGTGGACCAGTTATGGATTGTTCTGACAATATTTTGCCTTCTTAAACTCTGCTTTTACAGAAAAAACATCTCTTGTTCGCTATTAATTTCATGTTTGAAAAAGTACAGAGATGGCTGAAGGTGGAACAATGATGACCAAGGATGGACTACATATGAGCCAATCAGAAACAGGCTTTCAAAGAAATGAGCCAATCACAGACCACAACAGTACTAGGAGCACAAGGGATGGTAGAATGCTGATATCATTTGACAGCTTTGAAAAGTCGGACATGCTACCGGACTACAGAGGATGGCTGACCGAGTGCAGCACCAAGAAACAGTACTGGTGTGTCGCGGCCAGTAACATGCTTGGGTTGTTTGATTCACCCGAAGGAGATGAACTTAAGAGAGTTTTGACACTGAGTGACTTTCATCTGGAGGCGTCGATAAAGGAAAGTGGAGAAAATTGTGACGCTGAGACGTGCGAGTCTAGCAGAAGCAGAACATCAAACAGTCAACTGCTGAATAAGGAGTTTATCTTGGAGTTGACACCAGTTTCGGAAGGAGACAGGATTTTCAGTTTTAGCGTGCCAACGGAGGAGGAGTTCTCACTTTGGAGCTCATTGCTTCACAGTTTCACAGAGAAATCCCCGTTACCATGTAAGCTAGGGATGACTAGACAAAAGAATATCAGTTTTGAGGAGAGCCGGAGGACGGACAGTGGGCTTGGGGAAGAATTTGATACGTCTCCATCAGCGAGAAGGAAAATTCCCAAACAGATGAGTGTCGAGAGCGACACTGCCTCGCGAGACGGAGAATGGCAGAGCAGAGGAAGCTCTTTTGTGTCGTCGCTCGCGACAAATGACGATCTCGCTGACTCGCACTCCATTAGCGACAGCGCCTCTTGTGGTAACAGCACCGTCAACCTCTCAGAAATCGAATTCGCCGATTCAGAGACAAACTCCCAAAAGAGGAATTTACTCAGTGATAGCGTTTTCCTAGGAGGGTCCCAAGAACTGGATGCGTGGGACGAGTCTCATAGTGTTGATGGAGACTCAGCCCCGACCTCTCCTCGTCATCCCACCGTGTCAAGTGTGAGCTCTACCGGCGACGCAACCGAAGGATCTCGCTCAGATCATAGCAAGACTGTCATCAGCAAAGTGACCAAGTTGGTGCAACGAGCACTGATTCGCCGGCCCCGGGTCACGTCCGGTTTGACCTTAGGTCACCTCCCTGACCCCAAAATGTCGGGACCCATGCGCAAGAAAGGTAAATCACGCTGGTACGTCTTAAATGATACGTACTTGTACTGCTTCAAGACCAACTCACCAGAAGCTGAGGCAGAGAGCATCCTTGACCTGAACTCATACTCGGTTGCCTTGGCAACAGAACGAAAAGAGGACGGACAATCCATTGGCCTGCTGAAACTCACCCACTCTGCCGGGAAGAAGGTTTTGTTTTCCATCAACAGCACCGACACGGCTCAACTGTGGTATGATTACATCAACGAGGCAATTCGACTTGCAAGTTCCACCAAAGCTTCCAGATCAGACAGCCAGAAATCGACAGGCTCTAATTCGGACTCCCAAGGTCATACAGCGCTGTCCAGTAGACTGTCGCGGGAAAGTTTTGAGGAGAGCTACGGGTACTTTGAACGGCAGAGTTCTCTGAGAGCTCAGAGGGATGCTGTTGACAATGCAATCACTGAAGTGCCAAAAGCAGACAAACAGGTGAGGGATTTTCCCAGTGTAACTTGGGCACGTGTGGTCTAGCGGTAGAACACAGGATTCATGATCGTGAGATTGTGGGTTCGAGCCCTGCCGTGGCCATGCGTGTTGTGCCCTTGAGTAAGGCGCTTTACCTCAATTACTCCTCTCAACCCAGGTGTTAAATGGGTACCGGTATTATCCAATGCTGGGAAGGTAACGGATTCGCTGTGGAGGAGGTGTGGCAATCCCCCCCCCCCTCCACAGCAGCATATGAGTCTGGCCCAATCACTTCAAAAGAGAGATGGGCACTCCGTTCCTGTGTTTTTTGCTATGTGAATTGTTTTCGTTTTGCTGAAATATCACTTACTTTTATTGTGATCCGTGGAAAAAATTATAAAACTGTGTTTGTGTTTAAAAGTCAATAAATAAAAAATTACATGAGCGATATGAATGATTCTTTTACTGAAATAAAGCATATTAATTGGGCTTTTACATCCTAGATCTTGAACACTCGAGTCACATTTTTTGGCGACTCGACTCGACTCGAGTTCCGACGGGTAAATGACTCGACTCGACTCGAGTCACTGCGAGCAAATGACTCGACTCGACTCGAGTCCCTCATCAGAATGACTCGACTCGACTCGAGGAAGGCTAATAAGACTCGAGTCCCAAAATAAAAGCAAAATTACTTGCGAAAAATATTTGCAATGACTTACGCTGTGCCGTTTGCGTTGCCAGTTTTTGTTCACGTCACGTTAATGTTCGCGAATACAGCGGCAGTCTGTTTCCTTCCTCCATAATGAAACAACAAACATACACTGTGTCGCGGACTCCCACCTTGTGGTTCTATAGCATGTAATGCTAAACCCGGAACCAGACTTAAAACGCATTTCTCAATCAGTGGTTTCATCATTGGTTTCGGGCGATTTTGAAGTTCTTGGTGGAACGCTGGCTAAATTCATGTCCCGATTTCACACAAAAAAATGGATACGGACGGGCCCACCTTTAAATAATCAGAAACAGTTTTGTATAATGCAATTAGGTTTTAACGTTGTCAGCGATCAGCGAACAACAAAATCTAGACCCGAAGCCAAACCAGTTATAAGACCGAAGTTTCACATCTTCTTTTCTGTGACGTGAGCTAGCAATGGAAACTGTTGGTTGGGTACCATACAGCATACTTTATGTCTTTGGATTTCCGTAATAGACTGGTGCCTTGTATTCTTTCTCTCTTGTGTTTGTTGCTTTTTATTGTAATTTAGTGTTCAAATATTTGTGACTCGAATTGACTCGATCTAAATACTTGACTCGACTCGACTCGACTCGACTCGACCACACTCTGTGACTCGACTCGACCTTGTTGACCTAATGACTCGACTCGACTCGAGTCACTTCTTTAAAATGACTCGACTCGACTCGAGTCACAAAAATCAGTGACTCGTTACAACTCTGCATGCAGAACTTCTTTAAACAATAGGGGGCGCTATTTGGGTTTCCTTTTTTTGACTCGCCCTGAAGTTGACAAAAGTGAAGACAAGTTTTCTGAATTCTATTGTACTAAAGTTCTTTTTTTTGTATGGTCTTTTGTCTGTCAGGAATCTAGCTCTGGAAGTTCTGCAGCAGCTGATGGAAAACAAGAATCACGTTCGCTCTCAGACTTTGTAAGCTCATCAGAAATTATTTTTACAATATTTCATTATGTGACTTCATGTATCTCACTGCAAATACTTAAAACGTCCTACTTCTACATGTATATTGCAAGATTTTTCTCCACTTTAGAATAAAAGTGGCAGACTGGTTGGAAAGGAGTAACAACTTGAATTTAGAAATAGGGTTTGTATTAGCAAATTATTTAAATTTATATTTGAATTGTACCTAATTTAAAATTTATATTTGAATTGTACCTAATTTAAAAATGACAAAGCAAGAGTACAATCACAATTTGAAGTTCTCGTGTCCAAATCAATTGTATTGAAAGGTTGGTGTTCAAGTTGTACACAAGGTGAGCAGGCAAGTATTAGTTTTAAAACTGGGTGACAAGTAATTTTAACCAAATTCATATTCCCTAAGAGACTCAAAAGCTGTGGATCGGAACCGGGTACCTGAGTACCCGACTGTTAACGCTAACCCCTTGGGTATTTTTACTAAAAAATATCCTGAATCCTCCAAAATCCATCAATTTTGCCATGCCAAAAAATGTTGGTTGACAGTGAGTCCATCAGAATCCACCAATTAGCTGGGCGTAAATCTGCTGAGATCCTGAATCCATCAAAGTCCCCCAACTGCTCAATATGGAGGTATCCTCAATCCATCAAAATCCTGCAGTTCCGCTAGGCTTACTGTCCTGAATCCATCAAAATCCCCCAGTTTTTGCAATATGGAGGTATCCTGAATCTGCCAAAATCCCCCGAAACAGGGGTGTGGATTTTGATGGATTCAGGAACGTTAGGGTTAATGTCAGGAACCAGTTTCAGATGATGGAATCGAGTACCCGTAACCAACTTTGCAAATTACTTAGTAACTTCTCAGTCAATGAAAAAGAAATGTTACGAACGTCAGCAGGAAAATTTCCAAATGAAAAACAGGATACATGGAAAACCAAAACCAATTTCACATTTTATGATGCTTGCGAAAGTTGCAGTTGTCACCACATAGCTAAAGAGCTCACTGTATACACCCTATCTAGCCGTATTGCCGCACCGATGTGGTAGTATTATCGTGCGGACCTTTATGAACAATCTGAACATCAACTTCCCAGATTTGAATTTTGGGTTGGGTTTCTTTAACCGGTACCCGGCTACCTGTGTTTCTTTATCAATCGGGTAACCGGTTCCCATACTACCCGTAAATACACAGCCCTAACAGACTCAGAAACCATTCTAACCAAAAGTGCATGCAGGTGTATTTGTTCAGGTCAGGTTAGAACCCACTCATTCTGTTTTGTTAAAAATTCTCTATTGGAGTACGTCCTTCAGACATTCAAAATGCCAAGGGAACAGGTATTCACTGCCACCAGTCAATTGTTGAGGCATTGTCAACGTACCTTCCCTTCAAAATGAACTTGGTGAATAAGCACTGGTAACCCAACCCAGAATTTGCAAGCTGGTACGGCCAGCTATATTTGTAACTTTATTCATCAGTGCGATGCCAGACGCAGGGAAAATCCCTCTGGAGCCACACAATGTATAATCAGCACTTGCTCTTTCGCTCTTTTGAGAGGGAAAATATCACAATGGAACGCAACACATACGGTTCTATTCACTGGGTAGGTCACACATTTACCAGGACCTTCGGAGGTGGGGCTGTGACAAAAGAAGGCAGGCCACTCACGGAAAAAGCTACATATGGGCGGCTATATTTATTTGATGTGTAATACTCGGGACTTTGTTTGGGCAGGAGAGCGTGGCGTCGTCATCAGTTGCCGCCTGGGGATCCTCAGACGATCTGGATTTGACGGACAAGAAAGCCAACACTGCCTTGAGTTTGGTCAAACGTTCCATCAGACCATCGCTGTTGTCCAAACGGAGAGCGAGGCAGATGCCCATCTCGGCTTGTGACGTTGTGGATCCGACGTTGACTGGGAACCTTCGTGTGTTCATGCCAAACAAGGGAACTTGGAAAAAGTAAGTTTCATATCCTGTTCTAATTGTGCTGTCATGAAAAATCCTGTTTTATTATCAGTCTCTGTTGTGGGGGTTTTGTGTTGTTAGGGTTCCAGTAGTTCTACAATTCATTGAGGAACTCACCAAATTTACAGTGAAATGAAATAATAGTCATGGGCCTGAATCACAGTGGGAAGACAGCATGGCTTTCAATCTTAGAGTAAGGCATTTTTAATGTTTGTCTGAACTTATATTCCACACATCAGCACATATAGTTATTGTATTATTGTATTTTTAATAGAAAATGAGGGCTTAAACTATATTTTTGTGACGGTAAAGTTTTTTGTTGTTGAAAAACTGAAGTTTGGAATAGGACAAGTAATTTTTTTTTAATTTCCTTTTTTTTTAATGTAGTGAAATAAATGCACGTTTTAACTTTCAAGATTTATATTTGGATACTTAAAACCAAAGGTATATTATGCATTTAAAATGGCACATGTACATTTATCAAGGTTCCTGCACCTTCGGGACAAAAAAATCCACGAACAAATTATGAAACTCCATGACCTAGTTCATCAAAATGCAGATCAAAACTGTAAAACTTGTTCCGTGACGAGTGCCGAACACAAACAGAATAACAACAAAACAAAGCAATAATGTCTTTTGAAATAAAAATGCTTGTCTCAGTGAAATTTTTCACATTTTTGTTTGGTTTAAAAATCAGATATACAAAGTTTAAAATTTAAAATAAATTGGTCTTTTCCGTGACTTTTGTCAATTTTACAAATTTCCACGACTTTTCCAGGCCTTGAAATGGAAAATAAAATTTCATGATTTTTTCATGTTTTTTTCCCAGACTGGGGAACCCTGATTTATGTTAGATAATTATCGAAATTTATTTTTCTAAAATACAATTCTCCACTCTTAAAAATACACAAAATAAAAAAAATAAAAAATATTCTCTCACTTTTGATGACACGGGTACACTGTATCGTAGCAGCTTTATAGAGAAGTCTTTAAAATGGCTTTTCTCTGAAAATTCCATCGATCACCTTCCCCTTGGAATTATCAAACTGTTGCCATGGCAATGAGAAACAGATGTGCAAGTTTCATTGAAATATTGAACATCTGGTTACTAAGTAACTGATTCAGTCTTGAAGAGGTTAATTGCCATTGTTATCTTTTTTTTTCAGTGTGTGCAAAAACCCATTTGGAATATATTTGGTTTAAAGAACACATTTTGATCTGTACCTGTCAAAGGTCGTCCAAAACAAAATCTAAGTTAAAATGTAGTCAATATTTAAAGGGGTTTGACTAATGTCCTTTTTAAATTTTTTATCTATTTATTCTCTGCAGTTTTAAATATACGTACACTTCTACTTGTCCATGTGTAATGTGTATACACTGCCTGTTTTGTAATATTTATTCAGTTGAATTTTAATTTATAGATTTGTTAATGCTTGCATGAGAAATTAGTATTTTTATGATGCTGCTTTATGATGCCGTATAAAAAATAAATATTTATGAAGGACTTTGATACATATGGTGGTGCAAAAAGAACAAAACCCACTTTTGACAGCAATTTAACGTATACTTGTTGATCGTATTTCAAAAATTCAATTTAATGGTATTATAATATTGATCTTTAAATATAATTGCGAAAAAATGATTGCAAATGCACATTTTGTCTCTGATATATGGTAGTTTAAAAATGTCATGTGTCAAAGCTGTTTGTCCACGGACGGCTTTATTCCTTCTGCTTGACTGAGCTCCAGAGCTTGATTTGAAGACAAAAACACTACACTACCGGTAGACTTACACGTGTATTAAACTGAGCATAACAACACTATTCTTGCAATTTTAAAAAAAAATCTTTTTTACCACGTATGATTGAAGAGCTATACTTTACAACAATATAAAAAAAAAGTTCAAATAAGTTTAACAAGTAGGTTAACATTGCTGTCAAAAGTGGGTTTCCTTCTTTTCGCACCACCCTGTAGATTGGCAGAATTCATACATTTGCTCAATATTAAAATTGTACACGTGTACATGTACTTCAGAGGATGTACATGTACATGCACTTTCACCTCCATTCTACCATATTTTTGTCATTTTTTGTTTTACAACTTCTTGTCATCCAGAGTTTAGAGAGAAACACTTGCTAGGGATGTATTTTCTGATCAAGACTTATTAGTATTCTGTTAAAAGCCTCACTATGATGTAAATATGTTTTGAAGCAAATTTAATTTATCCTTTGACCCCATTCCTTCGTTAGGTCTTGGGCTGTGCTGAAAGACGATTGGCTGTATTTTTACAAGAAGCCCACCGATTCATCAACCTCGGACATCATTGAGCTGTCAAACTACACCATCCAACGAGAACGCACCGTGGACGACGGAACTCCACTCACCAGCCAGAAATATATGTTCAGCATTTTAAACAAAGACGTAAGCATTATTTCCTTGAATCTGGCATTTCATTAGAACTCACTAGCAATTTGAGTGTTAAAGCTATAGTCCATCATTTGTAATTTGTGCATTTTGTTCGTTTGAAGCAACAAAAGAGTTCAAAATCTAATGAAGGATACTGAGCAACTAACTTGATGAAGTTTCAGCTCAGCTTCAGCTTTATATTCCGAGAAAAACAGCATTCTAGGATCTCAATTTCAAATCAAAAGTTGCTAAATCATGTTTCGAATTGTTTTGAATTGCAGCTTTACGCGATGTCGTGCACTGATCCGACGAATTATAGCAACCGCGCGCCTGTGCGTCGTTCCAATGCTTGTGCGCGCTGCGCTGAATAACAAAACGAACTACTAATTTAAATTTTCCTATGGTGCTTCTTAAGAATCACCGTTGGAAATGCCTTCTTTCGTTGATTACTTCAAAATGACAGCTTCCCAGAAAGAATAATTTCACAGGGAGTTTAGTTCCCTTACTATCTTTCAACCAGTATGTTTTTCAACAATAATTACGCCAGTTACTTTTTTGGATAGCTGCAAATGATGGACTCGGGCTTTAATTGAAAATTTAATAGCTTCACATTCAAGCTGTTAATTTCATCAATTTGTCTTGCTTTTGATGAGAATTGTCAAGATTCTGTCTCTTTCATGTTGGATAATGGAAGAAGAGCAGTATAAAAAAAAAGTGAATTGACATTAAAAAAAAAATGGATTCTGAGATAATTCAAAATCAAAACTTGAAAGAAAACATGTATCTTCACGGAAATGCTATTCAAGGAAAGACTACATGTTTCTGTACAGAAATAGAAAAGCAAAACATTTTGGACAGTTTCAAGCGATAAAACTGTCATGTAGTATATGCGTTAATTTTTATTACTCATCCTAAACCATACCACCACTGCCTCAAACTGCCTCAAACTGCCTCAGCACTGTATTGTTTCATGTATTCTCAGTGAATAAATACATTGTTATACAATGTAATACAATGTGATACAATGTAGTAATTATTTCCCCAGGGATCTAACCGTGCTGTCATAATGGCTGAAACAGAGAAGGAGACGCGAGCCTGGATGGAGAAGTTGAAAGGTCGCGCCAAGAAACAGAGCGCGACCCTCGACGGTCTGAATCTGGAGAGTGGCTCTTCTACGCGACCGCTCCTACCACCAGGTAACATAAAGCATTCCCTCACAGCGGACCGCTGTATCAGATTTGAACCTGTCAGCCAATCTTGGCAAGTTTGGAGTGTGTAGGACTGTACTAGTGAACAGAAGGGCATGGGTTCAAATCCCAGTCAAATGAGCTTTTGAATTTCTTGTCACAAAGCTGTCTGACTAGTAACTAGCAGGAGAAAAGATGGATTTAATTACCCCAACCGAATACTGGTATTGTCTCCTTCCAAAACTTCTCCCTCAATGATGAAAATGTGATAAGTTTCTGTCATCAAATAGGACTCGTTATAGTCATCCCTTAAGAATATGTGACATGTTTATGCACGTAAAAATTGAAAGTTGGTAATACATGTATTGATAATCATTTCTCGGAATGAAACCAAGGATTCCTCAAAAGCGCCCTAGGTACTGTAGCTCGCAAGCCTGAAGAAACCTGTAGAGAGAAGACAATGAGAAGAAATTACAGTTTTGGAGGTGGGAGGAAAACCCCACAATGATATTCTGGGGAAAACCCACAGAATCAGGCAGGGTCTGAAAACCCAATCCACATATTGGCCCAGGCAGGATTCGAACGTGGGTCACAGCGGTAGAAAGCGGGGAAAGTACCGCTACGCCAACCTGACTCCCCAATGATCACTCATTGTGGAGGCTGATCATGTTCTGGCTTGATTTGAACACACATTAACCGATGCCTGCACATGATTTTTCCTCACACAGCCCTTATGAGCAAGCAGAACAGCATCCACAACAGATGTCTAAAAAGACAATGGTGTTCGGCTGCTCACTTGTTAGAACATTTGTGTTGCAATCCAGAGGTATAGGGTTTGAGTCCTGGCTGATTGATTTTTTTTTCTCTATGCAGAATCTAGTGACAAGTGGCACACTAACCAGGCAGAAGTACTCAAGGAGAAACTGCTGAAAGTCCTCCAAAAGAACCTAGATACTCTGGAGGTGAGAAGAGAATTTGGTCATCACTGGCTTTGGGTGCATGTTTTGTTGACTTATTTTCTCGTTGTAGAGCCTACCGAATGTAGATTCGAAGGGGGTTGCTAGTTTAGTCGCCGACAGCCGACAGCCGACAGCATTGGTAGATAGCTGAACAAGGCTTACGGGTTCAACCTACCCGGGTTTCGGACGAGAGTTTTCCTTCTCCTAGGCAGAATGCCGACCTAGGCTAACGAGTTCTACCTACCCGGGTTTTGTGATCAGAGTTGTCCTCCTAGGTGGACTGTCAACCAAGGCTAATGAGCTCCACCTACCCGAAAACCCATACAAATACATGTACATGTACAATAGCTTTTTTTCAACCAAGAATTAAATGAAAACATTCGGTTGAAAGTGTTGCTTAGAAATCATAAAAAATATTACATAAATATGAAGATAAGTTGTATTATATAACTGACATACAGATCCTAGTCATTTAATTGGTGGAACTCACATCACGTGACATTCGTTATGGCTCCCATTCACGCCACGGCTCAAAAAGTACTATCCGCCCATGGGGAATGGGAAATACTATTCAACAGTTAGGATCATGACGCGGTATTTGTGTGCAAATGCATGCTGGTGTGCGCGTTCAGCGTTGCGCGTAGCGCGTATTGTTCCAAAGAGCCAGCGCTACAGCGTTGGGTTCAAACATTTTCGTGAAGGGGTGGTTGGAAGAGAGAGATACATTTTCATCCAGTTTTGTATTGAAAAAAAAAGTTCAAATATATCAAATGACAAGGATCTATATGTCAGTTATATAAAACAAATATTGAGTGGCTTTAAATTGTGAAATGGGAGGAATATTATCGCTCGGTAAAATCTGGACTTTTCCAGTTCACTCGGCTTCGCCTCGTGAAATGGAAAAGTCCAGATTTTACCTTGCGATAATATTCCTCCCATTCCACGCTGAGCCACTCAATATTTGTATAACATATTCTCCTATTGTCAAGAGCTGATTTTAATGATTTGGATCCCTTTGTGAGAATACATTTGGTGTAATTTTCAGTTGAATTTAAAAAACAATTATTATTCTTGCAGACATCTTCAGAGAGGGAAGACCCAGACCTTGACCCCAAACTTGCCAAGAAAAAAGCAGAGATTCTTTCCAATTATGAGAAGGCTAATGACGAGGAAGCAGAGGAATTAGTCAGGTACCTGACCATCCAGAATCGACGTCGGATGTCGGCCCAAGTGAAGAAAGATGCCCTCCAGCGAACCATCGGGAGTAAGGGTAAGAAGAGGGTGGAGAGGATTGGCAGTGTAGAGGAATCGGCCATGGAGGATCAGATCAAAACCTTGAACGTCAGGCTGGACAGCATCAACGCTGATATCGAGGCCAAGAGCACGCAGAAGACCAACCGCCTCCAGGCACTTAAGGAGAAGAAAGACTTGCAAATTCAGCTCTTGGAGCAACAAGAGAGGCTGTCGCGGTATCGCCGGCAGGCTCATATTGCGCTTCAAGGAGCAGATTTTCAGAGTGCTCTCGCAGGCCTGGATGAGGAAAGTCTTAAAGATGGCGAAGGGTCGACAGAGGAGGATGTGGACAAGAATTCAAGATATTCTCCCAAAGCAGTTGAAGATGAGACTGATAGCAGCTCCACACGGCCAGAAATACAATCTGAGACGGTCCAGGTCTTGGCAAGACAAATGGTTGAAAAATCACCCCCGAGGTCTCCAAATACTCGTCCTGGAAGGTTGTTGCCTAGTTTACCTTACAGAAAGGGAGAAAAGCCATCCAGAGGGAACGCAAGAAAAAAACAATCAAAGGAAACAAGTGAGGAAAAGTCCCAGTCTGGCTCTGTGCAAACAGCCGTTGACTCATGCCAAAGAACAGATGCCCCATTGGAGAAAAAGTCCAGCCCGTTAGCCCGCCTCCGAAAAATCAGCCTCGGTTCGAAAATGGCACCGGACCCAACTCAGCTTGTAAAAGAGACAAAGAGTCGTAAGCTGAGCACAGGGATGAAATCCTCGGTGTCGTTTGACGATGGACTGAGTTTAGGACAACTGAATTCCTCTTTGAAACACTCCTCCTCGACTACAGACTTGAGTGTAGCGAACACGAGAGGAAGCCCGTCTCCAAGGAGAGCTGCGAGTCGGGAAGGGAAGGATACCAGCACGGCCAGCCCGCAGAGACGACGTCGCAAGATCAGCGTTCCTGTCAAAATGCCATCCATGGACAGCCTCTTCCCCTCATCAACCTCCAAGAAGGATAAACAGAGGAAGATGAGCAACTCTCCGAATTTCAGTGACAGAGCCGAGCCCGAGACCAGAGTTAATACAGACAGGGCCCAGATTCCCTCCCCAAGCAGCTCACCAGATATAAACGGAAACGTGGCCCGAGCTGGCAAAGGTCAAGAGGAAAACTCATCGGCCAAGGACCGTGCTGTGAGAGACGAAATAGACCCTGAAGTTCTACGAGATATTGAGGTGAGTTGAATTGTAACTTAAATGTTGTCGATAAAGCCTTAAAGATAGTTTGCTGGACTCAAAGGGGAGAGTCACCGACTGACAAACTTACTGATCGACCGACTCAATCAGTATAACTTCTTTCCTAAACTGAGACTTTATAGTCAGGTTCTACTAGGCAATTCTTGTTTCTCAAATGTAAGATTTCATATCCTATAAAACTTGAATAATGTCCAGATTTGTGTGTGATATTTTTGTACTTTTAATAAAAAAAAATGGTTACTAATTTTGTGTTTATTTATTTATTTTTGGTACAGGAGTTTGAAATGATGGCTCGCAAGGCTCTTCTAGAAGCTGGTTGGGTCTTCCGCTCCTGATACAGCCCCGGACAGTAGGGATTCTATCAGAGTGAACACTTCAAGAGATGTAATTAAGGCATCGTTAGTCAATCACAAGTCAATCACAGATCATCACAAGTCATCAATGGTCATTATAAGTCACCCTTTTTATCAAAAGACACCAAAAGTCAATTGCAAGTAATCACAAGTCAATCACAAATCAATCACAAGTCTTCACAAGTCAATACCAAGTCATCCCAAGTGGATCGCAAGTAATCACAAGTAAATCGCATGTCGCCACATGTCATTAGAAGCCATCACAAGTCCATTTCAAGTCAAATCAGTCTCAAATCGATCGTCAGGCTAGCCAATCGAACTGATGACCTTCTTTTATCTTGTTTCCCCCTCGACCCGACGTGTAATTGACTTGGTTACAATTTTGCTCCAGTCTCTAAACCTATCCACTTGTTTTCACAAAAGTGAGTGCGTTGTTATTGAAACTCAGATATATATATTAGACAAAGAAAGAAAAGCAACTTAGTTAAAAGTAGCTTTGAAGATAATCTTGTTTGCGATGCAAAATACTGCCTTAAACCTCACAAAAACATGTTAATCCTTGTTGTCACGCCTCAGTGACTGTGACTCCCACAAAGAAGCCATGTTGGTTGAAAACATTAATACACGGTCTCCTAATTTGTTATTACATTTGAGTATGTTTTAAAGTTGGCTAGTATACATGCAGCTTTTTCCTGATATTGGTAACTTGTCTATTCTTCCTATTAGAAGTTTCACTCATGTTAATAGTGCAGAACTTTTGGAGAGGACATAATTTGTTTGTCTTCATGGGGAAAAATATCATTTTGTTTCCAGCATTGTTTAAGTCGTTTTTTAAAGAGAGGTTGCTTTTCCTCTGAAACTACCTCATGTACCCGACTGAGAAGTCTGATGTCTTTTCAATTTTGCTCAATTTTTTTTTTTTTTTCCCCTCGAAAATTTGAGAATTTTCAAATCAATGGAGAGTAATCTTATGAAATTGTATGAAAATGTATGAAATTGCAATCAATATTGTAGTTGATAATTCTTATAAAATGAGGTTTTACATTAAGCTATTAGTCCAAGGGGCGCTGCAAACACAATCAATGTAACAGAATATTGCAACAAAATATTTTTTGTAATTTTGTACAGAAGCAGTCTTCGTGACTGAAAACTTCTTTACAATGATGAACATATGCGTGCATCAAATATAGGAGCAGATTCAGCCTTTCATTAAGATTTGTTTCGTAGATCTTTGTAAAATTAAAAACTTTATATTTATAATTGCAACGAGAACAATCAGTAAGCTGTACATGAAGATTTTGACAACTTGTTCTTTCTAATGAAAATGGTGCTTTTCAATTTTTTGTACATGGGATTCGATCAGCAGAATTTTCTTAAAATGCAAGGGGCACAAATGTGTATTTATATGCACGGTACATCTACTGTAAATACTATCTTTGGAAAAAAAGGACATTTTTTACACCTTTTTTCTATCTAAAACTCTTTTGCTAGTTGTTGCTATTTACCAAATTGACAATGCCAGCTTTGATAAAATGCTCGAATAAATTTGCATCAAAAAGTGCCAAAAGTTTTTTGCAAGTTGTGAATGCTATTTTTGTGTGTGACTAATTTGATCAGAAGAATAAACCGATGATAAAACTTGATAATGAAATTAAGTTTATTGTAGCCTCTTTTTGTGGGAGGTGGGAGGGGGTGGGGTGCTGAGGGGTGGGGGTGCTGAGGGGGAGGGGAACTTGTTATGTTGTACACAAAGTTTTACTGCTCCCCACATTTCCTAGTCAGGTTTCAAGAAAAATCAAAACCACTGTTGTGAGAAATTTAAAGTTACAAGGACCGCTTTAAAGGGAAAATACAACATTTGCAAACATCAAAAAATAAAACTACCAACTCATTTTGAAATACCTTGCTGGACTGTTAGTGAATGACAGTGTAAAGCATCCTGTAAAATCATGGCACCTGGTATACTGTCATTTTCAAGAAAAGTGGTATATTTGTATCAATTTCCAACGCTGGTCGGCCGACCAGCGTTGGGAAAAACTTTTTTTTTTTCAAATACTGGCCCCAATTGACCATCGCACTTGTTTGCAATCGATTACACACCTATGAACGGGTACAAGCCAGCTAGACTGCTTCCCTGACCTTACAATTCCCCAATGTATGTAAACTGCTCTGTTTCTTCTTATATGGAGTCAGGGAACCAGACTACAGGAAAATGATTGTTTTTCTTGGTTTTTATAGCATTTTCGAACCCAAAACCTCAAAAAAGTCAGTGTAACTATATTTGCTATATATTTCCAACCCCCCAATTCCATCCATTTCTGAAAATTACAGCAAAAGCAAATGATGTATAGTCCCTTTAATTTGGGTGATGTGCATATAACGCGGACAGTAAAACATTCAATGCCCATGGCATTGCACATGAAATGCCATCATGGTAACATTGGTAAGTACATGTACTTTTCTTGCCACACATGGGCGTTGCCAAGATTTTTTCTAGAGGGGGGCAAAACATATATTTCCAAAAAAATTATTGTATTTCTCAACAAATTCTTAATTTATCAGTTTTAGAGGGGGGCAGGGACAATCCCCACCCCCCCAACTCATTAAATTTAAACCGCTCGTGACGCCCATGTTGCTACACGAGCACATTTACTAGTTTGGAAAAGTTTGCTTGCGGTAACCATTTCTAAGGAGTTTTACCGAGTTAACCTGTAATGAAAAAATGTGGCAACCTGACACCACTTCAGCGGTTGTGTACAAAGTCTATGGAGAGTCAAGAATTTTTTTTTAAGTATTTGCTAACAAAATTGGAAATGTTTCTCAGTCCCAGATTTATGTCTTAATAATTTGTGCAATGACTGACCTTCATTGAGATCATATATGAAGAAAAAAGTGGCGCCAGGTCGCAACATTTTTTCCGAATTGTATGGAAATTGACAAATGAATGTTCGCTGCATGCTTCAAATATACTACGCGCTTCAGTTAAAACAATATACATTTCACTCATAACAACCCCGAAAAGGCCATCAAAATTCAACATTTTTAATTGGGGTATATTAAACTTCATGAGAATTTCACTTTTTTTTATGGGGGGGGGGGGGAGGCACTGAAGGGAAAACAAGTGTGAGGCATGATGCCATTCAAAACGCACACGGCACAGTCTACAATTCTCACAACAAAATAAAAACATCAGCAAACAACTTTTTCCAAGTTATTTTTGACCAAGTACTTTTTATAATACACTGACGTACTGATATTCAATATAAAAATGCTTTAATTACACAAAACATATCATTTAAACAGAGTACTTACCACAAAAACATTGAAAGACACCAAATTTGTACCAAAATGAAAGCTGTACAACATCAGTCTGCTGCATGTATTTTATGTGGAAGCATGCAATGCATTTTGGGAGATTCAATACTGAGTTCTGATTGGCTCAAAAATGTTGAGCTGAATTCGAGTATAAAACACAGCATTAGCAGATATTTATAATTGCTTAAACATTAATGAGGGAAATTAAATTTAAGTCTGCAAAAAAATGCACTCGCATTCAATTTTACAAAGTTATTTTCCCTCAGATATAGCCAACACTTTCCCAGTATTATATAAACTGAATCCTGATTGGCTGAAACTTTGTAAGTCAATTATAGTACAGAATGCATGATTGGCCAGTACAAGAATGTATTATTTACAACTGCTTGACTTATTTCCCAGGAAATAAAAAAAATTGCATAAAAGTGACTGAAAAATAAACAAACCCAAAATGATTAATCAATTATTTAAACAATCCTTATAGTATAGATACTGTGATTGGCTGTGTTTTTAATACTAAGTTAAGTATGATACAGAATGCATTATTGGTTGTTTTTTTTTAGCATGCAGGGAAATAAAATACTGTTAAGTTTGCATAAATTGGCACCAACAAAACTGCCCAAATAAGTTTTTTTTTCAACAATATCTTGAGTATTATAGATACCGAGCCCTGATTAGCTGAAACTTGTAAATTATCTATACTGCATGATTAATAATTCGGTAACTTTTTTTTCATCAAAAAGTTTATTTGAAAAATAAATTGCTTTTGTGCTTAAGTAAAAAAGGAAATGACCGCTCAAATTGAATTAATACTACATGGGTATGACAAACAAATTTGAATATAAACACAAGCAATTTACATGCATGTTACATTTTAAACTGGTCTGGAAACCTTAGCAGTTCACCCCTTTTTTGTTTGCAGCAATCAGGGGTGCTGACTAAGACCGATTTTGGGGTCAAAGGTCAATAAAGAGTATGCACAACCGTTTTCCCACAGTAAACTTACATGCATGATTTGACCTCAGTGAGGTCATATTGTGCATCTCTCTATGGACTGATGACATCATATGCAAAAGGCCTTATGCCAGAATTCTAAATGATTATGTAATTTACTTATTGTTCGCATGCACAGCATGTACTGGTGTGGCTAAAACACATAAGAATCTACAAATTAAATTCAACCAATCAACAAAAGTAGCTGGCCTGATGTTGCGGTCTTAACAAGATCTTCTTACGAGGCAAATGACAGTGGTACAAGAAAGAAACATGTAGGGGACACACAAGCTTGGAGGGGTGGAAGGAGAGACACAGAGGCGGGATTAAGGACCAAGGGAGTGTGGTGGTGGGTGAAGATCAAAGGGGATGAAGAGAGGGGATGGGGCAGGAAAGGAACAAAGGGGTGTGGGGGGGGGTGAGTGTGAGGATCTGGGGGGGGGGAGTTGAGATAGGAGGGATGATGCTATGGGGGAACGAAGGAGCATGGTGTGGGTGAAGATCAAGGGGGATGAAGAGAGGGGATGGGGCAGGGAAGGAACAAAGGAGTGTTGGGGGGGATGAGTGAGGATCTGGAGGGGGGGAGTTGAGATAGGAGGGATGATGCTATGGGGGGAACAAAGGAGCGTGGTGTGGGTAAAGATCAAAGAGGATGAAGAGAGGAGATGGGGCAGGGAAGGAACAAAGGGGTGTGGGGGAGTGAGGATCTGGGGGGGGGGAGTTGAGATAGGAGGGATGATGCTATGGGGGAAACGAAGGAGCATGGTGTGGGTAAAGATCAAAGAGGATGAAGAGAGGAGATGGGGCAGGGAAGGAACAAAGGGGTGTGGGGGAGTGAGGATCTGGGGGGGGGGGAGTTGAGATAGGAGGGATGATGCTATGGGGGAAACGAAGGAGCATGGTGTGGGTAAAGATCAAAGAGGATAAAGAGAGGAGATGGGGCAGGGAAGGAACAAAGGGGTGTGGGGGAGTGAGGATCTGGGGGGGGAGTTGGGATAGGAGGAATGATGCTATGGGGGAAACGAAGGAGCGTGGTGTGGGTAAAGATCAAAGGGGATAAAGAGAGGAGATGGGGCAGGGAAGGAACAAAGGGGTGTGGGGGAGTGAGGATCTGGGGGGGGGAGTTGAGATAGGAGGGATGATGCTATGGGGGAAACGAAGGAGCGTGGTGTGGGTAAAGATCAAAGAGGATGAAGAGAGGAGATGGGGCAGGGAAGGAACAAAGGGGTGTGGGGGAGTGAGGATCTGGGGGGGGGAGTTGAGATAGGAGGGATGATGCTAAGAGGCAATTCCACGGTTACTCACGTTACATTTATGATGCACTTTTGAGTTTCCTTGGGCTGTAATTACCTTACTGATAAGGTTTAATAACTGTTATCCCCACGGTAGATAGAGTAGACCTAGACCTACCTAAGCACCAAAGATGACATCCAGAAAAATGTGTTATGTATGATAAACAAGAAGCACAAAATCGGTTACTCACGTTACATTTTCGTAATGCGAGTAACTGATTTTGTAACCAATTTTGTACATCAAAAATGTAACGTGAGTAACCATGGAATTGCCCCTAGGGGAAAACAAAGGAGCATGTGTGGGTGAGGATCAAGGGGTGAGATAGATAGATAGGGATGAAGGGGGCAACAAAAGTAAAGTTGAAAGGGGAAGACAAAAAATAAATTTAATCAATTGCTTGATTAAGATGATGTTAAGGGGAAAACAAAGGAGCATGGTGTGGGTGAGGATCAAGGGGTGGGGGGCAAACAAAGGTAAAGTTAAAAGGGGAAGACAACAAAATGAAATGTAATAATTGCTTGATTAACAAAAAAATTATAATATGCTTACAACATAATTACGCACTTCCCCAAGTTTGTACCAAGTTTGGTCTGTTACAATTTTTATGATGGATTCCTTTGTCTTTGTTGATTGTCATACATTTATTTTAATCGCTCAGTGGTTTGATGTGGCACAACCTTGTTCCCTGACTGAGCAGTGATACAGATGGATGTAGTAATCAAAAACTGATGAACCCTTTAACTTGCTTTAAATTGGTCCTTTTTAAGGCCCTTTAAGATCGTGGTCTTTCTTGTGTAAATTGTCAGAACTGGAATGTACAATAAAATAAAAATTTTAAAACAAATTGAGTACTTTTTCAAACTTTTTCAGCATAAATCAGTCTAATAATTGCAGATTCTACATTATTTCAGACAAATCTAAATCAACTCTAATAATATCTGAAGTCGGTCAACGTAAAAAAAAAAAAACTAATTAATAAAACTTTTTCAATAATAATCAGCTGTAGTAGTTCTGGGTAATATACAAATAAAACGTAAAAATCTACAAATATATAAACACAATTTCTGATCGAAAACACAATCTTCTATATACAAGGTTAAATTGAAACAAACAAGACAAATTAAAAGTGGAATAATAGTACTTTTAAACAGGTATTTATTCTTGCAGAAATAATGAAACAAAACAATGGAACAGTAAAAAAAATAGTAACCCCCAAAAACTTTGCATGTTGTTCAATCACTAGTAGTCTCAAGTTTTCTTAAATATTATTTTACCACTGCTCAAAATTATCCAGGTGATTCAAAGTTAATATTCGATACCATTTCTTAGTGACCCCCCCCCCACCCCAGAAAAAAAAAAGGCCCAGAACTTGTTTGAATCCAACTTACTCAAGATCTGCTGCACAAAAAAAATGCTTTAGGAATGTCATGCAATAACCAAATAATAACTTGCATTCAGCATTTACAATGAAATACTTACTATAATAATGCTTATTTTCAATATGGCCATTTCGCCATGATTAAAATGTTTGTGTTTGTCGTAAATTCTATTCAGTTCATTGTTAATTTAAAGACTGAGACATAATGTCTTGATATTGAGGCTGTATCTTACAATATATTCAAAAGGAAAGTAAAAAACGTGGTGATTTTTTTAAACCAAAGTTTAAATTGATAATGGCACATTTTTTACCTGCAAAATTTTCCTGTTGGCAATATCAAAAGCTTATTTATACAGATAAGGCAATGCGTTGTTTCCTCAAACGGTCACTAATTAAACAAAAAAAAATCTATAAATGCTTCAGCATTCAAGATTACCTTTAATAGAAATAAGTTTTCTGTCCAGATTATCAATGCATTTCAAGTTCTTGACAGTACAGTGAGGTCTGTTATGCATCAGCCATCTTTGTCATGTTTCTTGAATACACAGTATACTATGAAATGGGTCCATGTACTGGCACCAGACTATTACAATCAGTTGCTGGGAGCTAGTTCCGGCGAGGACCGTTAGTCGCCTAATTGTTGATTCGTGACGTAACTTATGCCGGAAAAAATGTTGCAACCTGAGGCAAATTTTTGGTTCATACATCACCTCAATGAAGGTCATTCATTTCAAAAATGATGATAAGACATGAATCTGGGACTGAGAAACATTTCCAATTTTGTTAGGAAACAATTCGAAAATTTTCTTGGCTCTCCATAGACTTTGTACACAATTGCGGAAATGGCGTCAGGTTGCAACATTTTTTTCCCTTACGCCTGTGCACTGATAGCAATGCGCGAACGACTTTTGTCAAACGATGGTGAAAAGTACTGGCTCCCCGCTGTGCCTTATGATGCGCGCTGCTATCGGTAACCAGTGATGCAACCATGCCCGTGCTCCAAATGGTCGAGTAGATCACTCAAACAATCCTTTGTTTCGAGAGAAGATCGTCGAACTACAGTTCACGCCCAGAGTTGCTCAAGGTTGTAAGCCTGATACGCTTGCTTCCAACTGGTCGTGGGTTCGAGTCCCACCCAAGTAGCTTGTGAATTTTTTCTCACAAATCACTCGGGACAACACTAAGTATACAGTGTTTATAAAAATATGTTAATGAAGGGCAAAACCCACTATTGAATGTACATGTATGTTTCTGTTTTCATCAGTTCTGAGAATCATTCTCTTTCTAAGTTTTCCTGAACCTAAAAACATTTTTGTTGTCTGTTGTGTTCCAAATTCTTCAACCGGAGATGTGGCATAAGTAGGATTGCAAAACATGATAATTTAAACTTTACGGAAGAAAATTTGTGGCCATCATTCAGGCAAATTTTGTATATACAGTAAACAGCCGTAAATGCCTCCTTTTTTTAAAAGGAATTCACACAGTAGCAATATATTTTGCAAAATAGAAGAATCCATCCGCCATCTTGGTAAAATCAACCATCTTGGGGAGAAAAAAAAGCGCCCGTCTCCTTCATGTTTAAAAAAACTCGGGCAAGAAACAATTGTGATGCAATCAAGCTAAATAAGTCGTTTGTCGGGAACTTTTATTTGGAGATACAGGCCGAAATAGGGCCACTTAATCACATCACTTCATCACATCTCTTGGTGTTCCGACTTCCATAATCTTTTTAACTAAAGATGATATCAGCATGCGGTTTTCACAGCAGTAATGCTGAGGTTGTACTCTTTTCAAATCTGCAATATAGTTTTTTTTTACCAGGGTCGACAAACCACTCATGTAGCTTGATCGCATCACAATTTTTATTTGTACTTGGCCTTAACAAGGCTCATTAATGCCCACACATCATTTGCACTGTAGCACCTTTGAGGCAGGGACAAGCATGAGTACCTCCCTTGTGCATTTTTTGTTAATGAATTAACATAACAAAGCACACCTCAAAGATGGCGGCAGAACGCAACCAATCTATAATGATCATCACTACTGACAACAGCGCCCCTTATGGTGATCTCTAGGAAAGTCGAGACGTTTATGATACAAAAATATTGATTTTAACTTCTCAATTTACGGTCTGAAGGGTTCTCTTGAAAAGACGGTTTACTTGTTGCCCATTTGTTGGAACATCTGAAAATTAAAGAAAAGAAGAAGAAATACTTAAAGACTTGTGAATGTTGAATTAACCAGTTCGAGCCGGATGACGTGTATACCCACAAATGTTTTGCGGTATTCGGAACGGATAACGGATAACGGATAAAGACCAAGGGAGCGAGGCCAGAAAATATCTGTAAGTGACCCGCTCGCAGCGAGCGAGGCCGGAAATATGAGTGTGCTGCCCGAGGGTGATGGCTTCAACCCGCCTGGCTTGAGGTCGAGTGAAAAGTAATCCCGCGCCTCGATCCGTTCTTGTCAAAATAATCCCAGCGTGAACTGGTTAAAATCACCAGAATTAGTATTTTGTGATCTCAGTGTCTACATGTTTATGTCTGTTGTCAATGTTGGTAAGTTGGTCTTTCGAAGAACGATATTTTTACACTTACCTGAAGTTTATCTTTGACATTACCGCCTCGCTGGGCAACCTTCATCCCGGGGGAGGTGGATCCCTTTTGATCTTTCTTTGCAGAGTCCACTGAGAGTCCGTTTCCAATAATTTCAGGAGATGCTGAATCCTGAAATAATGATGATTTTCCAAAATACAATTAAATTACTTAAATGATGGGATAAAATGTGCAACTACCAACCACGTGTGGAACGGCAAAATGTCAATGGCAAAATACCAAATGGCAAAATGCCAATGGCAAAATGACAAGTGGCAAAATACCAAATGGCAAAATGCCAATGGCAAAATGACAAGTGGCAAAATGTTAAATGGCAAAAGGGCAATGGCAAAATGCCAAATGGCAAAAAGGCAATTCCGTAAAATACACCATATGTCTGACCACATGACGTACACGTACAAGGCCGTTAAGGTGGTGGCGTGCCTTAGTTTGGTCTGAAATTGTTTTCTTCTCAATTCATGTACATGTCAAATATTAGTGATGTATCACATTCACTTTCCCAACAGCAGCTCATTAAAGTGCCTAACATGCACGTCCAAATTTACGGAATTGCCCAAAATACGAAATGTGCCAAAAGTGCCAAATGGCAAAAGTGCCAAATGGCAAAATGGAAATTGCAAAATGCCAGATGGCAAAATAACAACTGGCTCAATGTCAAATGCGTGTCATGGCAAATGTTAAATGGGCAAAATTACAAATGGCAAAATGACAAATGAGCAAAATGCCAAATGGCAAAAATGCTAAACTGAATACGAAACTGGACAAATACCCAATGCATAGCTGCCAACATTTCAAAATCCCAATTAGTAATCAAGCCGCGCGGTCATTTTCAACTTCTCGTTTTATCGAAAGCTTTACCAACATCGAGTACAGGTACATGGTTTACATGTACACATACATGTGCATACCCTTCTTGTTGTGAATAATAATGTACTGTAGGCCAAAAGATAATTTAAAAAAAAATAAAATAAAATAAAAAAAAATAATTTTTTTTTTGTTTTTATTAATTTTGTTTTAATGTCTGTATTTGTTTGTTGAAGTCAAATAAATAATAAAATCAATAACGTGCGCATATTTTTTTGGAGATGCATTGCTATCGATGTTGAGTTTCGAGTTCGTATCATGTTTTTACACACAATGATCTATGGCCACCGTATGCAATAGAAATATCCCGCCAACATACCTTGCAAACGCATGCTGATTTATCTTTTCTGTCCGTTGTGATAAACTCAAACTCTATTACCAATTATTCCAACCATACTCTTATTAAATTCCATGATTAAAATCTCGCACTGATGGGTCTCATCCCGGCAATAAGTGCTCACGATCGTCACTGAAAAGTACTCACATACAGTACACACAACCACACATCCACGAAGGCACGAGATGCACACAAATGACACACCATAATCACCATTGAAAAATATTTTTAGTCTGGTCCTCAAGTACTCCACTGCGCACACTGCATTGATGTCTATCAGGTGCTTGACTGCATTCTTTCTTATTAGACTTGTCACCAGTCCATCCATTATCGCGACATTTCGCCAGAAGTTTTCGATCAAAAACGATACTTTACATTTTTTTTTTTCGTTAGGTAGAAAATGGGAAATTCGTAATGTTTTAGTGGCAAATCGTATTTTCGTAATTTAACAAACAATTCGAAATAATTACGAAAAAATCGTACTAGTTGGCAGCTATGCCAATGGCATAAAGGGAAAAACTGCTATCGTACTTAAACCTGAGAGATTAGATTTAAAATAACTGTTCACTGCATAAAGGGCCTTCACATTCAAAATGTTGTTTTCAATTGTACATGATACGGTCACACAATGACAATAGGAAAGAAACTGAAAGGAAAAATAAGCATGCAAACTATCATACCTTAAACAAATACAACAATTCTTATCCAAAATGCACTCTAAGCAAGAACATCATGCAAACATTCTGTGCACAATCACTACGAAATTTGGCTGGCATATGTGCTTGAACTTGGGCCATTATACTGATATAGTTTTAACGCTTTGCGTGCAGAATCACTTTGCTTTAATAATGGGACAAAATTATAACAATTCGCAAGACATTAGAGTGAATATATCATCTCTTGTCTCTATCACTCTCAAAGAGGTAAGCAACTGCAAAGAGTTACAAAAGCACACTTGGGGAAAATCCCTTGCTTTTGACAATTTTTTTCTCCCTAAAAAACAACAGATTCTGATCAAGATGCAAAGCTTTCTCTCTGAACAATGCATACAAAAAAAACCATCACTGAAATTCTTGCCAATTACAAAACTCTACTAATCACCATAAAAAAGAACGAATACCATTTGATGCAATAGACACGAAACATGCAAATTACGCAACTGGCGTAGTATAAACATATGCACTTTTTGGTAATTTAAACAATCTGACTTGGAAAACGCTTGCGAAAATTGGTTGAAAACAAAATTCTGAAACAAACGAGTGGCTCTCACCGTGACAGCACATGGAATCATGCAAACAGAAGGATTTCAAACAAAGAAATTATATTTGTCACAAAACAGACATAATTTTTCGTCGTTTTTTTTTTTGGTCGTCAACTTACTAAGCTCCAACTTCTCATTGCGCAGAGCGAGAGGCGATCTCGTGTCCTGCGCACCATCATGGGGTCCTTAAACGACAGTTCTCTAACCATCGACATGCGAAATTGCTACGAGGATACCATGGCAATTGCAATCCGGTGAGTGTGCGATGCATAAAGTAGGGGTGCAAGATTTGTTAATCTATGCTCATTAATCATTCATTCACGGCTACTAGCAGATCTGTTAGTCAGATAATCAACGTCACAGGTCAAAAAATGGAATTTCTGTGGCTCAGGCACAACCAATGCAAGGATTTAGACAAAGATTGTTATTACAAACCTCATCAGTTAGTTCAGGAGTAATGGGGAACAAGCATCAAAACCTACAAGACAACTATGGTATTATTGGGAAATCAAAAGCTGCAACCTAAACTAGTGGTAGGATTTAAATCCCGATTTTCAAAAATTCGGTTGGAATTCCACTGTTCGATTTCTATTTTTGAAACCGGATATTCAAAACCAACCTTAAAAAACTTAAGCCTTCCATTCTTTGTGACACAGGCTAAAAAAAAACAACTTGAACATCTCCCAATTTGCTCCATGGTCTCTGATTGTAACTGCATTCACTTGCTAGTGGTCTTCTTGGTATATGAAAAGCCTGCCTACTCGACTTGTCAGAGAGTTTCCATCCTTCTCCTCCCCCCCCCCTCCCAACATTACAGCTCTAAGAAGTTTGAAGGCCCAGTGGTCACTGAATCCTGCAAAAAATACCCAGTCATTGGCAGGGCATTGCATGAGGCACCTCACTTGTCACATTTTGTTGGCATGACTGTGAGCTGAATGGGAACTTTGGGTGAAATCAAGTAACCGTTATTTGGTTTGAAATCTCCAATTTCTCCCACAATAACCTCAACAACATTTGAGAATAAGAAACTCGTCTAAGTTCTTGATCGAGAAATTCAATCTTGATTTTCACCCTTGCTCAGTATTTGTAATTGTTTTGGTAGTCAGTTAAATAGTACATGGAAGTTCATTACAAGCTCAGTTACTGATCAGAGTATTACCTTTCCAAGTGTAGTTAACGTAAGGCATTCTCCTAAGTGAATACAGTAGACTCCCACTACAATAAACACTCGGCTATAGACGAACACAGGCACGTGATCACTGTACACTCACAAGGCCCCCTTCAATGGAGAAACCATTGTGCGCGCTATTGTACAAAGCAACTGCCTCGTGACCGATAATCTGAACAACAGCTAGCACAATGCTTCCGCCATTGAAGGGGGCCTTTGCGGCAGAAAGGAAAGCGTTCCTGGATTGGTCAATAAAAGAATCTCCCCTTTGGCTCCCAAATCTTATGTTCAATTATTACGAGCACTGGTGGTTGAAAATCACTGTAAAAAACAATCGCTATATCAAACAGTCATTATAGCAGTTCTTTTATCTACTCTTAGATGGCAATCTCTAAAGTGAAAGACGAGATTTTCCCTTAACTACTCTAGTATATAAGAGTTTAACATCCAAATTGCCTCCTCAACTTTGTAACTGTTTTCATTTTTGTTTCTCGTACCCACTCATACAATATCAGGTTTGTTTCACAACGTTATCTAGTTCCTCCTTTATCCAAATCTAACTCAGGAAACCTTAGTTCTTATTCTGTGGGGGGGGGGGTGGTAAATTTTTAAAATTCAGTCCATTTTGTACCTGTTTTTGTTCCTGGAGCGTGGTGGCGTCACTACGCTTGTTCAAACTCTCAATCTCCGTGTTAATGAAGGCCAAACGGTTGCTGCATTCACTCCATTCCTGCTGGGCTTTCTGTAGCTCGATTTCCAGCAGCTCCTTCTGCTTAGGATCCGTTGTCTCCCTCTTCTGAGCTCTGATAAGCCAGAAGAAAAGAAGAAAATGTACTCCGTGCACAAGTACCCACTCAATGGTTACAAAATGAGAGTTGGGAGAGACCACCGGGAGGACATTCAAACCACTGATCTCTATATAAAGACTGGATAGCTAATAAAGAGCCGCACAATGTACGAATTTGACGCCATATTGGTGAGACCGGCTGGTGATCTACAAAGGACAAGTTGCTGTCTTTATAGACAGCATGATTTCTTTTGTAACGTCGCGGTTCACTTGACTTATTTTGACCACCACCACTGACCAAGGTTTACTATGACTTTTGTAACGTCGTGGTTAATTTTAAAATGCTGCAAATCACTTTTTCGGCGTTTTTTGAAATAATAATCACTACGGAAATGTGTCCCTTTCAGAACATCATAATATGTGTACGTGACCAAAATGCGCGTCAACTGTTGATACAACGCGCGCGTATTTACGCGTAGAACGTTCGTATTATACGCGGCCATCTTCATGAGACCGGGGGCGAATTGGTCAATATGCAAAGTCTACTGTGCGAATGTTGTATGCATATCCGCTATCCAGTCTTTATATAGAGATCAGTGATTCAAACGCACTGTCGACGGCGCTTGACTCTCACATGAGGACGTTATGGCTTTGTGCACATTCAAAATAAAATAAGTAGTGCGTACTTCACACGATATGCACGCAAATCAGTACGTACACACAGGGTGTATTCGAAACCCAGTTCTCGAGTGCCCCGCGAACAGTGTTCTTGGGTTGCCGATTACGAACCCCCAACTGCGTGTGGAGTGCAGTTGTTCTCGTGTTAATTCAACACGAGAATGGGGTTTCGAATACGCCCGTAATGTCCCTTCCACTGGGCTCTTGAAGGTGGTCAAAGAGCGCCATGTTTTTCCGGCAATCACCATTGCTGAGTTGTGCCATGCTCACGTGCATGTCATAGGCTCATTATTTGAGTATGTAGCAGAGCCGAATGGCCCATTAGGATGGCGTTTATCTCCGATTTCCTTGAAACTGAGAATATTTCTATTCCCCCTGGATGGGATGCCAGTCCATCCAAGTTACTCCCCAGCTAATGCTGGTTCCCATTTATAGTCTGGGTGGAGAGAGGCAAGTGGGGGTAAAGTGGCTTGCCAGAGGACACAACATATCACAGGCAGCAGGATTCTGTACATTTAACAACTGAGAATATTTATATTCCCCCTGGCCTGGATGGGATACTGTTCCATCGCAGGTTACTCCCCAGCTTATGCTCGTACCCATGAATACTCCTGGGTGGAGAGAGGCAAGTGGGGGTAAAGTGACTTGCCAGAGGACACAAGATATTACAGGCAGCAGGATTCTGTACATTTAACAACTGAGAATATTTATATTCCCCCTGGATGGGATACCGTTCCATCGCAGGTTACTCCCCAGCTGATGCCAGTACCAATTTGAACTCCTGGGTGGAGAGAGGCAAGTGTCTTGCTGAAGGACACACATTATGGCCAGCAGCTGGATTTGAATCCCTGACCCTCTGATCATGAGTTGAACCTTAACCACTAGGCCACACTCCCCAAGAAATAAAATTAAATTCTGTAACAATGAATACACAAAATGTCTACTCATGCAGAAAAGAAGTATGTGAATGCATCGCATGACAAAATATATAAACTGCTTCAACTTGGCAAACTATGAAACTGTTTCTTAACCAGTTCGCGCCGGGATTATTTTGACATTGACCGGACCCCGGCACGGGATTGTTTTCATGAACCTTGATGCAAGACGGGTTCAGGCTGTCATCTAGGGTAGCACACCCTGATATTTCCGGCCTCGCTAGCTGCAAGCGAATCGCAGACAGATATTTCCGGCCTCGCTTGTTGCATGTTTATCCGTCATCCGTTCCGAATACCGCAAAACTTTTGCGTGTATACACGTCATCCGACATGAACTGGTTAAGAGTGCTCTTTTTAGCTGTACCTGAGATCTATCTTCCGTCTGGTCACTTCTCGCTTCCTCGTATCCACTTCCTTCCGTTCAATCTCCAAGCGGTCCACATCCAGAAGATGCATCTTGTCGGATTTCGCAAACGCAGTTTTTGCTCGGACTAAGAAAAAAAAAAAAAAAAAACAGGAAGGGGAAATGGAGAGAGCTTAAAGGATTAGAAAGGATTAAAAATATATCAAGGATTAGAACCAATTTCTCCTTCCTTGGCAATAACCTTGGTTCCTTAGCAGCAGAAAACATCTATTTATGTCTGTGACATACCACATGAAAATCATTTTTTCACAAATTTCCAAAGTTTTAACTAGACAGCATCTTCTTTATATTGCAATTGGTGCACTCCACTGAAGCTGCTTTCTCTTCCTTAGCAACCTCTTCCTCCTTAGCAACAACCTCTCTTTCCTTAGCAATAACCTGGTCTCCTTAAGTAATCTCTTTTTGGGCATGATACTCGAAACAGGTAATCAAAATGTTTTTCAATTTTTTAATAACTCAACTACTCACACGCACCCTCTTTCTCACAATGAAATTGGCATTATCCACCAAGGCCGCTTTCACTTCCTTAGAAACGACCTCTCCCTCCTTAGTAATGACCTCATATTCATCAGCGATGACCCCAACTCCCTAAGCAACTTCTTTTTGCAAGATACTCATACTCGGGCCCATTTTGGTGGTCATAACCAAAAAAATCTTTTGGTTAGGTTTGGGCAACCTTGGTTAAACAATAACCATGCATAGTTACAGCTTTTCCCTAGTCGCTGGAAACACTCCCACTAAAATGCACTCCGAGGCAATCCAAAAGCATTGTTTTTCTTCATATTTCCCTACTGATCTTACCTGACACCTTCTTCTTGGGCGTCTCTTCCGCTGGGGGCTCTTTCACCTTGACAACGACCTCTTCCTCCTTAACAACGACCTCTTCTTTTCCTTTCCCCTTCTTGTCCTTTTTCTTCTTATCCTCCTTCTTCTTGGCTTTCTTGTCTTTCTTGCCGCTCTCTGCCGCCGGTTCCTCAGGCATCTTGGAGATCTTCGCTGGTAGGGTCTCGCTTCTCTTCCGGTTATCTCGTTGCATGACCTGAGGTATCCAACGGCAACCGCAGAGCATAAGCAAGAGGCAGTTTCTTTGGTAAGGGGAGTTTCTTAAGGAACCCTTTCATTTAAATCCTAGGGGTTTTTTTTATTGGCAGCTTGCCAGAAACAAGCGTGTGAAACCTATTTCTGTACTCTTTAAAGATTTCTCTCAGTTGTTTACATGGAAATATAGGGATATTTTAAGACGATGATTTTATGGAACTTCAAATCATCGTCAGTTATTAGGATTATCATATATGTTTCTGGATAATCTTGACCTCACAATGACAAACCTGGGAAGTGTTAAGGGTACATATTTATCAACGTATCCTCAAACAGGTTTATTTGATAGTTGGCTGGAGGGGGGGGGGGGGGGGCCCTGAGGAGGGGGGGGGGGCTGAGGAGGGGGGTGTCATGATGCTTGGGGTTCATTGGGAATTTGAAACTTGAAAGAGAACTTAATTCATCTGATAGCAAGGAAGTATAAGAGGCCATGATTTTTTTGAAGACGAGAGATGGGTCTCAAGAAATAAACAGTGTTGCCCTTAAAAAACAAAAGAAATATAAAACTGTCATTTTCAACAACTCAAAAAGAATGACTTCTGGTTGAAATGTACCTCAAAGTTTACAAGCAAGCACCAATTTACATGTATGGCACCTGAACTAGTTTTGAAAGAAGAAAAATAAACACTTTTGCAGCTCATTGAACAGTAAGCATTAATTTTGTGGATGTGCTATTTAGCATTTAGACATGTACTACGCTATGTAAAATTAACCACAATGTAAATTATATGTTATGTGCTTTTGGTTATTTAGTATCTATGTTAGTAGAACCTGTGCCGTATGAAATTCAGTTTGTGATTGTTAATTTTTGAAAGTTTGATATTTTAACTACAAACACACACTCACACAAAATTCATAATGTAAGTTAATATTTGTTTTTTAATGACGACTGAATGATATAACGATGTCAGTACGTTGTGATAATGCTGAACTGACAGTGAAAATACACTGTGCTAACTCTGGTAAATCATTTAAATGGGGGGAAAAGATATGAGATTTTTTAAAATGAAAGGAAAACAGGGTGTCAATCACTGACGAAGCGAAAGAAACACAAGTAAAAACAAAAACACAGAATGATCTGGCCAGGGATGTTGTCGAGTCCATCACGAGTCCAGTCACAGGTGACAGTGGATGAAAAATAACAAAGGAATGCCTTTGTCAAACCTCATTGGAATAGCTTATGATATATAAATTGTGGAGTACTGTGGCCTAGTGGTCTGAGACATGGAATTTGTGGTCTGCAGGTAATTCTGCAGGTTGTGGGTTCGAGTCCCGCCGGGGTTATGGTGCGTGTGCCCTTGGGCAAGGCACTTTGTCACTCATTGCTTCTCTCCATCCAGGAGTAGATGGGTACCTGTGAGGGCAGTGTAAGTGATTGTGAGAGATTGATTACGGCCAAGAGCTCTGAAATGGCTGCCTACCGGCCGTGTATGCTCCCTAGGGAGTTGAGGTTTCAGGAGTGTTTGCCCGTTGAAACAGGGAAAACAATAATTGTAAAGCGCTTTGAAACCCCGCTGACTGGAGGACTTGTGATGGACTTGTGATGGACTCGACGAGAGCCCTGGATCTGGCACATTTGCAATGTTTGAAGCTTTGATAAAGTCAATGAAATGAGCGATGTATTGGGTATCTCTCTACTTGTGATGAAACCATGTCATGTACTGTGCTGGAAAGTCTGGCTGGATCAGCACTTGGCACCGCACTCACAGCAAACGGGTTCTTCTTCTTTTTCTTTTCTTTGGGCGACGTGATCTCGGGATTTTCAAAATCATCCAGCAGTTCGAGATAAAGGTCTTCGTCTATGGTTTTAGCTATGTTAATGTACTGTCGGCAGGATGCAGCAAGCACATACATGTAAAGCAACGGAGAAAATAAAACACAGACAAAAAGCAGGATAAATTAAAACAAAAGCAGGGAACATGAACTTATGAAAAAAAAGAGTTACATGTAGGATTTAAAAAGCAAAATGATTACATTACATGTGACTTCAACATTTAAAAATAAAAAGCATAAAAAATGAGCTGAATCTGCTGGGTCTGCACAGCACGTCAAAACCTTTGATAGAATTCACTGCAAATAAAATGTTAGGTGAAGATTTGTTCTTGCCTGGTCTTCAGAAAGGTTAATAAAAAGCTATTTGATGATGTGTCACACTAAAACATAGGATAAAATAAGATATGGTTAATTTGGTGATGGTAAGTCTGGGATGTTTAGCAGCCGTCCTTTCTCGGTCTCCATTATGTCTGTGATTTCTTCAGATCAATCATCAACAGTGGTTACTGATTCCGCTTGGAAGAACAGCGCCACCTTTTTCTTCCTGAATGGTGTCCACATCTGAAGGGTTCATGTACAATACGTCTTTTTGGTTGTATCAATTTCAGTATACTCAAGCACTAAACAAATCTAATTTATTGCAGAAAAAGTGCAGATAAGCCAGTGTTTAAAGGCAAAGATATCTTTTCTGGTGATTGGATCCGATACAAAAGCCGCTAGAGGTGACTAGTTGAAGATTTTGGTGCATGTTGGGTAATCCAGGCATGCAACTGGCAATTTAGAAAAAAGAGGAAATTGCAAACCACACAAGACTTTGTACAGTGTTTTCTTTAAGTTGTAATGCATTCCTGAGAAGTAAAAAACGAGGAAATCAGCAGATCCTAGGAAAAGTTGCATGCCTGGTAAGCATGTTAACATCTTGATGTAAAAGCGATCAGTAAAATCTGTGATTTTGCAATATTTGGTTTAGAAGAGGAACAAAATAAAACCACCAAAAAAATCACAAGTTTCTATGGTAAATGTATGGTAGTTAAGTCAGGCTTATCTAAATGCCGCTTCTACATCTTTTTTCTGTGACGATGTTAGCTCAGATGCAGTAAAAGCAATCAGTAAATCTGTAATTTTGCGAAATTTGGCAAGAAGAGGAATAAAATAAAACCATAAAAGCCAAACAAAAAAATTACAAATTTCTTTGGTAAGTATATGGTTTTTTTAGTCAGGCTTATCTAAAAGCGTCCTCTACATCTTTTTTCTTTGACGGTGTTAGCTCTGGTGCAAACTTCAAACGGCTCCAACAAACGAGCCGACCGCAACTCACAATTTTGAAGTTTTGGTAAATGGACGACGACGATTTCTTAGTCGGTGAGTCTTCCTTTTCTTTGTCTTTGTCACTGGGAACACTGTTCTGGTTATTTTGGCGAATGGGAATCTCGGTATCTTCATAGAGGTCATCGTCGTTTTGTTGATCCGTCTGCAATCAGGAAATATTCAATCACCCAATCCAGCTTTTTGTCACTTTTTTTCAGGACTCCTCTCCCCAAAAGAAAATGTCTGAAAATGTTCAACCCTAATCCTCCTAATTCCTTCAAAATCAATGAAAAGGTTATTGAGGATTTTGAAGGCTTTAGGAAGAAACCAGCTACTTTTACTTTACCTAGGGCTTGATAGTTAATACCCATTAAAGTAAAAAAACAATATCCAACTAGACTGGTGCCTGTGATACAGTGACTTCACTCAACCATGCTATACAGGGGACAAGATCAAGATGTCTGCTGTATCACATCCACCATTAACAAGGGTCGTATATAAACTATCAACCCAATTATAACAAATATTAAAACATTAACCAAAATTATTTCTGAACGGAACAAAAAGAGGAAAGATTTAAAATTGCCTGGTGGCAGCATGTGTAAATTCCTTCTTCAAGGTTTATAAACCCTCATCAAGAGGATACATGTTTCTGCCACTAAACATCTTAAACCTCTCCAATTAAAATTGTTAACTGCAAAGTGCTAAATCTACCAAGGTACAATAGGTGCAGGTTACATAATTACTTTCTTAACAAAATGTTAATGATGAATTTGTAGGAAGCCAAAAGAACAATCATGGCCCAATTTCATAGAGCTGCTTAAGCAATAAAATTTGCTTAAGCACGAAAAAACATTGCTTAGTAAAATTAGGTTACCGGCCAAAACTCCATGTGATGTACATTGCTTGTGACTGGTATTTAGCTGTTGTTTACTTAGCATAACAATCGCATGGAGTTTTGGCCGGTAACCTGATTTTATTCAGCAAGACGTTTTTGTGCTTAAACAAATTTTGTGCTTAAGCAGCTCTATGAAATTGGCCCCATGTGAGTAACGTTTTTTTAAGCAAAAAGTCTACAAGCTCAAGACTTGTCAGTTCATGGCAAAATTGAGTTAGAAGAGTGTACAACATGTTATAAATGTGGTACATTTCCGAGTCGAAATTGTAAATAAGAAAATCAAGATTGTAATTAAAAGAATATATACAGAGAAGCTATGCATGGAATAAAAAAATATATAATTAGTCTTGAAATATCTGTAAAATAAGCTAACGAAGAAATAATGAAAGTGCGCAAAAGCTGAATCCTGAAGAACCTATTCACGGATATATACAAAAGAAATTTAGAAAAAAATCAACAACAAAAACCCAGACAAACAAATGAAAATGCTGCAAATGTCTAAAAACATTTTCTAACTAACTTTCTGCGATTAGTATACATTTGTAATTTTTTGATGTGGCATCAACCCTTCCAAATTTCCCTTTCAAATTTGAGTTAAGAATCAGAGCTTTCTTCTAAGAAATTAACAACCGCCTGGAAACGACTTTCACCAATCGCCAGAAAAACAAACATAAACCCCAAAATTGCAAAACCAACAGAGAGCTACAACGTAAATAAACAATCTCCATATGCTCCCAAACACAACATCATAAAAAGCTTTGCAACATTGTTTGGACTTGCGGGAGGGTAAAAAAACCCAAGCAACTAACTTTCCAGAAACCGGTCGGACGCAAAGGTTTTGAAGTCCAACAATATCTGCCAGCGCACGAGTTTCGAAAAGCCCGACGATCATAACACTTTAGAGTAAAAAATGAAGAGATTTGCTGAACAGAATGAGAGGCAAGTTGTGACAATAACAATGCAAAGCTGTGAAAGACAAATGACAGACAATCAGGTGATTGGTTCTTCAAGGTCGGATTCAAAAGATCAGAGGTCAAAGTTCAAGTGAAAGACATATTTCAGAAGATGAAAGGTTTCAGACTTAGATATTGACTTATCGGGGAACCGCCAACATAGGGCTGGATAGCTCAGTTGGTAGAGCGCCGGAACTGCAATCCGGAGGTTGCAGGTTCAAGCCCCGCTCCACTCAATTTCTTTGTTCAACTTTTGAATTGGTTAGATCACGTTAGAAACTGGATTGGATTTCAATTATAAAACCTTGTTAATGATTCACGGTAAAATTGCAAAAAGTATTTGAAGATCGTTGTTGAAGTAGTAGTGACAGGGCCCAATTTCTTGGAACTACTTAGCAGCAAAAAGGGTCTCAAGTGTGACATTTTTCCTGTCCCTGTTATTTCTGAATTGTAATGAATTGCCTTTCAAGCATCATCGAGAATGGCTTCAAACAAGTTTTTATTTGTTGGATAGGTAGTTTGCTATTCCTGATCACTCTTGGAGGACCGCTGCATTAACCCTAGCTCCCTAGCGTCTTTTACTAGGAACTGCATGAACTGCAGTACGACCTTTGTTTCACACACAATGCAACATTGTAAAGGTCAAACCAATCTGCAGTAGACATAACCAGATGTCAAGATATGACCTTCTGACCTCAAGGTCAAAGGTCAAGTTTAAGATTTAAGATAACACAGAGCAGAAGCAGTGGAACGTGAAGTTAGTTTTGATTTAAGAATGCAGAAAAGCTTCTTTTTGTTAAGTATTTTCCAAAAGAACTCACGCTGACGTTTTGGTACAACTCTCCTGAATCTCCAGAAGCTTGTTGTCCACTAGGAAGTTGTACGTCATCATATGCTTCCTTTGGAAAATGTAGCATCCCAAGAAATCCTCTTATAAAGGTGGTTTCATAAATAACACCATTTCTTTCGGTAACTCTGAAGTGTCTATTTTGAAAATAATATCTTGTAATCAAACCTGTCTTCATTACTACAGGTAAAGAAAGTTTTTTTTTATGTTTCCTAAAATTTCATTTTATTCAAAATTGTCCTTCCCTCTCAGGCGTGTCCCAAAATACCCGCAATTTTTTTGAAAGGCTCTAGCCTCCTCGCGGAAACACGTACCGCCATTATTTTTATACCATTTTAAAGCTTGGAATCTGAACTTTATCCATGGCGAGTATTGGTTTGATATTTAAAAGAAGTTAAAAATTATTTGTGTTCAAATAAAGACATGTTGAAACAAACTCAACCGATTTCAAGTAAACTCCATGATGCGGTACATCAGATGCAAACTCGAGTCACACTTTGAGCGTGCTTTTTGAAAAGGTACATACTTGCATGTGGATTTCAAAATTGAAATTGAAACGAAGAACAATATGGTGAATTCATTTAAGGTGTAGTCTACGTGGATCGAAAAGAATAGGAAACACAGAAAGTAAAAGGCAACAAGATCGTCACATCATGAACATAATGAACCATTTCCACATCAGAAAAAATGTGCATGATTGATTTTCCTTGAAATTGATTTTCCTTGAGTTTGTTTTTGACATGCCTTTATTTGAACACAAATAATATCAAAACCCTTTTGAAAATCAAACCAATACTTACCAGGGATAAAGTTAAGATTCCAAGCTTTAAAATGATATAAAATAATGGCGATACGTGTTTCCGCGGCGACGCTAGAGCCTCTCAAAAAAACGTTGCGGGTATTTTGGGATGTGCTGTAAAGTCCGTCTCCCCTCAATTTCCACAAATGAGAATCAGGTCCTTAAGTCTTTTTCTAAATTCTCATGCACCTGACACGTTTACAAATACACATAAAATATACACCACAACAGAGCGCTTCTTTTACAGAGAAATATGTTTTGCAGTGCCTGGTATTTGAAAACTAACATCTTTCTGGAAGATAAATGGTTCTAAAAGACTTCTCCATTAATGATATTGAAGCAAAAATTCCGCACATTGGAGCCTCATTCCTTTTTCAAAATGGAAACAACTTATCGAAAGACTTCCAACTGTGTCCTGTTAAGTACATTAAGGGAGAGACGTAAGTGTAAACATATTACAACCTTAGTTGGTTTACAAAGAAAAAAAAGGGGTACAAGTTGTTGTTTTTTTAATTTGGCTGACACAGCAGGAGAACGCTATTTGGTTCTAGTAAACCTTTTCTTCTTCATTTTCCACCTTTTCCACAAAAGAAGTTTTTTTGGAAACTCCCTTTCCCCCAAAAAATATATTCAGAAACAAGATTTAGTTTTTACCTGCTCTGCTGGCTCGTTATTCTGTTTCTCAAACGCCTTCAGCAGGCTGGAGACCATTCCAGTTTTTGAGGAGCTTGAGGGGTCTTTCTTGGAGTCGGTCATTGCTTCCATGAATATCTTCAGGAGAGGACCCATGTCCAGGTGGTTGAGAGTCTGCAAGGAATGACATTGACACATTGTCATGTTATAATGACACTGACAAGGACAGGAAGAGTGACATTTCCTTTATGAACATTTTCTGAAGAGTCTGGAGGGAGTGACATTGACACATTGTCACATTAATGACATGGACAGGGAAAGGAATGCTGACATTTCCTTTATGAACATTTTCTGAAGAGTCTGGAGGGCGTGACATTGACACATTGTCACATTAATGACATGGACAGGGAAAGGAATGCTGACATTTCCTTTATGAACATTTTCTGAAGAGTCTGGAGGGAGTGACATTGACACATTGTCACATTAATGACATTGACGAGGACAGGAAGAGTGACATTTCCTTTATGAACATTTTCTGAAGAGTCTGGAGGGAGTGACACTGACACATTGTCACATTAATGACATGGACAGGGAAAGGAAATGCTGACATTTCCTTTATGAACATTTTCTGAAGAGTCTGGAGGGAGTGACATTGACACATTGTCACATTAATGACATTGACGAGGACAGGAAGAGTGACATTTCCTTTATGAACAGTTTCTGAAGAGTCTGGAGGGAGTGACATTGACACATTGTCACATTAATGACATGGACAGGGAAAGGAATGCTGACATTTCCTTTATGAACATTTTCTGAAGAGTCTGGAGGGAGTGACACCGACACATTGTCACATTAATGACATGGACAGGGAAAGGAATGCTGACATTTCCTTTATGAACATTTTCTGAAGAGTCTGGAGGGAGTGACATTGACACATTTTCACATTAATGAAATTGACAGGGAAAGGAATGCTGACATTTCCTTTATGAACATTTTCTGAAGAGTCTGGAGGGAGTGACACCGACACATTGTCACATTAATGACATGGACAGGGAAAGGAATGCTGACATTTCCTTTATGAACATTTTCTGAAGAGTCTGGAGGGAGTGACATTGACACATTGTCACATTAATGACATGGACAGGGAAAGGAATGCTGACATTTCCTTTATGAACATTTTCTGAAGAGTCTGGAGGGAGTGACATTGACACATTGTCACATTAATGACATGGACAGGGAAAGGAAACCTGACATTTCCTTTATGAACATTTTCTAAAGAGTCTGGAGGGAGTGACATTGACACATTGTCACATTAATGACATGGACAGGGAAAGGAATGCTGACATTTCCTTTATGAACATTTTCTGAAGAGTCTGGAGGGAGTGACATTGACACATTGTCACATTAATGACATGGACAGGGAAAGGAATGCTGACATTTCCTTTATGAACATTTTCTGAAGAGTCTGGAGGGAGTGACATTGATACATTGTCACATTAATGACATGGACAAGGACCGGAACAATGACATTTCCCCAATGAACATTTTCAGGAGTGGACCAATTCCCAGGTGCTGGAGAATGGTTTTTTTTTTTATCCTCTAAGTAAAGTTGTTGACAGTAAGGGAAATAAAGTAAAGTGGGACCTACCTCCAAGTAAATCAGCGTCTCGTTGCCTCTGCTGATTTTCATCGCGACCTTCCGTTTGGTTACCTTGGGATCCGCTGGCATCATGTCAGTCCCGTTCAGGGGAAAGTCAAAGTGTTGCGTCTCACCGTCTTCGGACCAACACTCCAACTGGCCGTTCTTGATCATCAGGTACTTCTTACGCCATTTGGGCTCGCCGTATTTGGCTCCCATGATATTTATGCAGCCTTTGCAAGTAAAAATAAAGAAGCTCAAAGCTTGAAATCTGGAGTGTTCCACGTGTGCCACTCTTGACATGTTTGTTCTGTTTAATAAAATCACTCTTACCACAGAGAACAGCCAGTGAACACAAGGCGAACCAACATGGGAATGAAGATTGTCTATAAACACTCTACTTCCAAACTTTTTTGAACTAAAACCTAATTCTGTAAGTAAAAACACTTTTAAGATTTGGGCCATGCATCAGAACTGGATGCCCGAGTACCCGACCGTTGATATCAGGAACCGGTTCCAGATTATGGGATCGGGTACCCCCGACCAACTTTACAAACTACTTACTACGTTCTCAGACAATGAAAAGGAAAGGTTTTGAATGCCATTTGTGGGGAATTTTCAAAATGAAAACCAGGCTTCATGGGAAAAAAAACACATTTCACATCATGATGTTTGCAAAAGTTGCAGTTTTCACCATAAACCCATAAAGCTCACTGTACACGCTTGTATCTTGCTGTATTGATGCATCGTTGTAGAGGTATTATCGTGAGGACCTTTACGAACAATCTGCACGGCAACTTTCAAATTTTGGGGTTGGGTTTCTTTAACGGGTACCCGGGAACCCGTGTTTTCTTTCAGTCGGGCACCCCGTTCCCGTACTACCCGTAAATGTGCACCCCTATGTAAGATCTGTCAAGTGGTCCAAGTTCAGTCAAACTCTCTTTTCTCAATAATTTTTTTTCAACCTCTTACCTGACAGAACTCCCTTTCCATCGACATTCAGCTGCGGATTGCTCTCCTTCGATTTCTTCTTGTTCCACCCCAGGAAACCTTTGACTGGGAAGGAATGTTGAAGAAGACGCAAAATTAAATTCCAGAAGACGGTCTTCCAGGCCCTGGCTCTATCCCTGGTAATCCCTTCCCTTACGGTCAATAAAAAAATATCCAAACGTTATCTGAATTGTAATACAGGCCAGGTCTTGAAATTAAAATCTTATTTCTGCAGGATTGGGGTTTATATTTCCGCGTACCTTTTCTCGAGAGTTCATCTCCCGTGTGTGAGGTTGCTCCTTGGCCTTCCTTCTCCACGTAGCCCGTCGACGGGACCAACTCGTTCCCCATAGTAGCATAACCCTGCAGCACCTGGTATTTTAAAATGCATAAAAGAAATTACCCCCGATCGTCATGCCTGTTCTCATTCCAAGCATTTTCCAGAAGTAAAGGTAAAGGTAAAGATCCCATAGCCATTACTGGCCGTAGGGGCAGTGGGATGTTAGAGGTCCACTGTGTCTTGGGCGCGGCATATGAGTGGCTGGGCCCAGTCCTCTCCTCTCGCCGTCTTACCTTCCCTGAACGAATCAGGTACCCATTTTACTGTTGGGTCGTCAGAGAGAGTTTTCCAGTTTTTGGTTCGAATGGGATTCGAACCGCCAACCTTCCACTCCGTAGCTCCACGCTCTAACCGCTCGGCTACGAGGCCCCCCTTAATTAAAGTGCTAAAGATTGACAATGATTCCCTATCAGGACTGGGACACATTTTTGCTAAATTGTTTGCATGCAGCAATTGGAGCAAAGTATCCTGCTTGAGGACATCGGGAACCAGGTACAAGAAATGTGATCCAAATAACGACCTTTGACCTTGCGAGCCATTTGTGAGGCATTCGGGCAAAATCAGACGGAACTGGGCGCAGGCTATAGTAGAGAAAATGCCAAACAATTAAATAGTGATGAACTTTTTCTGATTTTCAGGTTTATTGATATTTCTAATCTTTGATATCTCTACTACACATATTTGAAATAAATAGTATAAAAAGCGAGGAATAAAAGCGTTTTTAAGGAGAAACAAATTGGCATCTTCCATTTTCACAAATGCAAGACTCAAACGTTAAAGCCCTTTTTCTCAGTATTTTACTTCTGTGACATGTTGATAAAAATGCGAATTTAAATCAGCCATAACTTGTCAACAGAATGTCCGATGGAAGTACAACAAACAGTACCGTATGGTGAATTTTGTTCTGTTTCCCAATACCCACAAACCCTCATTTTGACCTCTGCCCAGCTCTGTCTCATTTTGGCAGAACGCCTCACATTTGTCCTTTTCACTTTTAGCTAAATAAGGGACCGTGACCATTCAGCCCTGGTATCAAAAGGGCCCCCCGGTACCTCGTCCGGTCCAGAGCCAGTCCGGTCTTCAGCCCAGTCTCGTCCGGTACATGGTCCTGTCTGACCAGAAGTTTTGAAGTCAGTCAGGCGCATCAATTTATTGCCCTTCAGAGAACGTCCAGAGCAGAACAATAGCAGACTTACCGGATTAAAGATAAAATCCTTCCATAACGCCTTGGTAATTTATGGTCCCATTGTGCGCGAAACCGCATGGCAGGGGTTCTGATCTGTGCCGACGAAAGTGTTCTATTGTTTCACGCTGAGAGATGAAAACCACAAGCGGGTTTCTTCTGGGATATATTACATGTGTCAATACTTGCAAACAATAGACCCTAGGATAGAGGAGTTCCTGATAAGCAACCGGACCAGCTCCTGGGCCGGTAGCTGGGACGTTAAGAGAGGACTTCTTGGGAGGGGACGAGCTTACCGGGGGGCCCTTTTCATACCGGGGCTGAATGGTCACGGGCCTTAAGTTTGCTTCTGTTCAGGAAACTTTGGGGCGATACAAGGACAAATGGGTTGATAAGAAAAAAAACACCTTCCGCAATGAAAATAATTTGTGACGTACCCCAATCCACTTGTCAGCGTCTTCCTTGCTGTCGGCACTGTACAGCTCCGATCCCCGGCTGGGATGGCTGATACTGAAGACGTTCTGCTGCTTTCCTTCCTGCCCGACGAACGCCACGGTGTAGCCAAACAGCACCAGGTCCTGCGAGGGCCTCTTGGTGTCGTGGTTCTTGTAGCACAGCAAGTGGGTGTCCCTGGCCAGGCAGTAGCGTTTGGTCCACTGACCGAAGTTCTTCTTGGAGATGGTCATGACTTTGCTTGGGATGAACAGGAGTCCCAGATGGTCCACCTTGGGGTCACTCTCGTGCTGCTTCTTGAAGTGGGCGAGTTTCTCCTCTTGGTCTAACTTGGCCTTGTCTAGTTTGGTCTTGGCCTTGTTGGCGTTGGAATCCACGCTGCGGAGACAACAAATGGAATCCATTTTACATTGGGTGTTGCCATTCACCGACGTATTTTATACACACTGCATATTCAGTTTTTGTCCAAGGGCTTGTGAGAAATATTCTCAAGCTTACTCGGGTGGGACTCGAACCCATGACCTCCTGCTTGTTAGTGCAGACGTCTTACCACTCGACCACTAAAAAAACTTGAGGGATTGCATGGTGAGAAATCAATGAGTTAAAGATGCAACAGAGGTACCATGCAGATGTGACTTTGCATGATTTGGATCGGAAAAGAAACCAGTTAACAGAGAGATACCGGTATGGGGTGCTGTGGTCCAATGGTTACGGTGTTCGACTCGTGTGCCTTGGTTCATGGGTTGGAATCCTGACCGTAGGAACATGGTGCTTGTGCTCTTGAGCAAGGCACTTTACCATTATTGCTTCGTCCTTTGGATGGGACGTAAAGCCGTAGGTCCCATGTGTTGTGTAATGCACGTTAAAGAACCCAGTAACACTTATCGCCAAGAGAAGGGGTTTGCCCCGGTGTTTCTGGCAGTGGCTGCAATATGCGCCGCAGTACCTTGTAAACCATTATAAGGTGCTACATAACAGATTTTTTTCTAGAGGAGGAGGGGGACGGGGGGAGCACACTTTCCCGCCAAACTCCCTGTACTTTTAAGGACATTTGCCCTCCCCCAACCCATGAAATTAACTGCAATATAACTTTGTGCCCTTTTTTGTTGTTTTATTTGGCTCCACCCCCCCCCCCCACCCCTCGCGACGCCCATGCCTGTAATATTCATGATTTCACTTTAAAAATGTTTCTCCTACTAGACTGGGCCTTAGTATGGAAAAAAATGAAAGAGTGAGAACTACGTACCCAGCAGATTGCTGCCTTCCTATTTCGTCCTCGTCATAATCTTCGTAATCGGTGGAGCTAAATTCACCATCATCACCATCATCAACTGTCAAAAACAATGAAGGAAAAAGTAGACTCAGTCCACGCCACTATATTAGTATTTAATTTTTAAGTACTTCAAGTAATAATCCATGGGGAATACAGACCTCATAAAAGGTCTCGAAAAGCTTTCTGAGAGATTCTACTCTGACAAAAAAAACCATGTTAATACCTGAAGATGACTGCCGACTAAAATATAAATATGCTGCATCACTTATGAAACTTGTGAAATTTATTAATATTCTGTCGCTGAAAATTACAATTTAAACCAAAAAAATCAGGTCTCGGAAAGTCTCTAAAAGCCACAATGAAAAAGTACTGAAATTGACAAATCATGAAAGCAAACATCTGTTTACAATTGTCATAGTCGGGCAAGTCTTCATAGTTTTGTAGGTCGTCCTGCGGCTGTGAGGAGGAGCTGGAGTTGAATGACATGAGCGTTCCACCGCTATCTGATGGTTCCGTGTATCTGGTTGATAACGGCATGGTGGCCGACTTCCCGGTTGGTCTGGCTGGGATTTCCTTAGGGAGAGAAACACAGTTGGAATATGAGCCAGTGTTGTCGACGAGTATATTCGCAAGTCCAGTCACAAGTGACACAGGATGAACAATGACAAAGGAATGCCCTTGCCAAAGCTCATCTGAATAGCTTGCGAGTTGAATTGGGACTGGAGGACTTGTGATGGACTCGATTGTCTCCCTCATTCAACCTGGGGCCGATTTCACGAAACTCGTCTTATCTTGCGACTCATCTTAGGATTTAAGACGAGTCACCGCTCTAAGATCGATCTTAGCTAAGACGCGTCCTAAGACCGAATTCACTAAACCCATCTTAAGCAAGACGCATCAAAAGTACCAATTTGATGACTGTTTTATGTTTGCTTCTCCCACTTGATAAGTAGTTGAAAAGAAACACGCAAAACCAACTTCCCGTTCGCGTGCATAGAACACAAACTTTCGCCAGAATAGTAACTCTACTCAATAAATTTCACATGCAAGGTAGATATTTCTAGGCAAGCTAGTTTCATTACTCTATTTTAAAAAAGACGACTAGATGTTTAAGCGTATAATTTTGTAAATACGCTATTTTTATTAAAAGTACCCACGTATCAGAAATCTCTTCAAATCTGTTTCTACCGCAGTTTTCTTCCAAGAAACTATAACTCTAGGCCAACTCTGGTCTTTAATGGCAATGATTTCCAGACGACATACAAATTAACACACGCATTAATGAGATAAGACGACCATCAGACCGATCTTCAGTTAAGATGAGTTCAGCCGCGTTGCTAAGAAAATCAGGACGTATTGAACGTGTCTTAAGTTTGGTGATATCGATCCTTTGACGAGTCGTGAGTTAAGACGAGTTAACCCTTCCTAAGATGCATCTTAACATTTCGTGAAAACGGCCCCAGGAATGACAAGCCATGCCAGCCCGATGCAGTAACATTAGAGCTGTGGTCAAGCCCATCATGCTTCTAATCGCAAGTGAAATTTTAAAAATTCAACAAAAAATAAAATCCCCCCCAAAAGACGGTTGATTTGAGTTCTTGGACTGTCTTACATCGGGATCTTCATATTCAGGAAGGTCATCGATTATTCTTGTGATTGGAGGTCGGTTGGACGAAGGCACGGTGGGAGATCGCGTTGGTTCCTCGTAGTTCTCATCAATTCTGCAATCAAATAAACAAAAGAAGGGTTTGGGGATATTGAAAAACGCCAGCATATATATTGCATGATTATCATTCTAAAGAAAAAAAAGGTGTCGACTATTGGAAGCTTGGCTGGCAGGACCATGCAAACTACAACTTTCCTTAAGGAAAAAAAATGAACCGTTGGAATCTCAACAAAAACTTTGCAAAACTTTCAACTCACCTAGATATCAAATAATTTATAGAACTGGTAAAGAAATTAAGTAAACAGGCGTAAAACTCTAACGACGGCATCGAGAAATAGGAAAAAAATTGATGGTTTAAGAAAGATTAAAGTGAAACATTAAAGTGAAAGCATCTTTATGTGCCATTGAATAATGCAATAAATTACATGAGGCGAACAAAACAAAAGCTATTACTGGATTTATTACTATTTACGTTATAATTTTCATCAGCAAGGAGAAACTAATAACGAAGTCCTGTTTGCAACTGTGTTTATACTGAGTACATGCAAAGTTTGTTTAAGTTTATAGCAAGATGTTTTACTTTAAAAATTACAACAAAATCAAAAATACAAATTCTGAAATTAAAATGTTTTCGAGGCGGGGACGTACAACATGCAAACAGTGACCACACATGCAAATAGACCACTGGTTTTTGTTGGCATGCAAAAAGGATGAACATGAATCAATACAAACTCAACAATACTTCATGCGCATTCCCTGTATACGCCCGTTCCAAAATCCAAACTGGGGGGTGGTTTTTCAAATCCCAAAGTGGAACTTTTTATATGCGAACGCGGAGCGTTAAGCCCTTATGGTGTGGGGTCCGGTGCCCAGCCAAGGGCCCGAAAAATTTTGGATTAAATAGATGCTCTGTGGTGCAATCTGAGGCATTTCCTGGCCACTTTCCCGTGACTTTTGAATCAAATTTGCTTGTGTTTACAACTTGAAGGCAACATTTTAAGGGGGATGGGTCATCAAAAGTTGATTTTTTTGTGGGAGGGGGCAATTTTATTTTTTAATAAATCTCTGAGTGGAACTCCTCAATCTGAGTGGAACTCCTCACCAAGTGGGGGGGGGGGGGGGGGGGGTGTCTTCTGAGCCCCTCCAGCGTACGGGCCTGATGTATTGAACAAACAAGACAGTTTGCCTGTCGGCCTGAGCAACTAAATCAAAAGAGGGCGCTCTTTAGGGGACGATGCTAATTAAAGCAGCACCATTTCTTCTCCTCTTCAAAAGATTTGTCAGTGATCAAAATAACTAGGGATTTCATGGATATATTCCAATATTCAAGTGATTGTTAAATATTGGAATGCTTTTTTACTTCATTCCAATTTTTGTAAAATGAATTAAAATCATTAAATAATAAAATCCAAACGGACTCCAGCTTAACACATACACTGACAAATCCACACCAGATCATGCAACACAGTTCCAGTGATTTCCTCTCCAAAAACATTTCAAATCAATAGTACTCAAAACATAGAATTTGATTTGAGTGGGGAGTTGAACCTTGACCTTTAGAACACCATACCGGTGCTCTACCAACTGAGCTATCCAGCCCTATGTTGCTGGTTCCCCAATTAGCCAATGTTACACTAGTCAACAACCAACTCTCCTGAAGACGGTCAGAGCATACTGACCGGAACGTCGAGTTTATACCTCTGGTTCTTTTCAGAACCATTCTCTTAGTTGAGAAATTATTCGCACATGGTGTTTCCGCAAACCTTTCATTATTCAACTCATATGTGTTATGTGGACCAGGATAATGCTTTTGGTCACACTTCTGGAGAAAGATTACTAATATCCAAAAACCTGGAAAACTGCAAACGGAGGTCACTCCGGAATGACACAGATTTTAATTACCACTCATCAAATAAACCTCGAAAGTCAGTTTCCCTTGTGGTTTCCGTGATAACAAATCATTCCATTGAAATTTATTAGCTTTCAATCTTCACAGGTGTATATTTTTTTCTCTGAGCTGACAGAGTTCGACGGTTACTGCATTTTTAGAAACGGCTTCAACTTTCGTTTTTTCGTTCGTTTGGTTTTTGGGATGGGTGACAAACGTGTGATTTCTAGTGGTGTACATATGTGAGTATTTCGGGAACTGAGTACCCTACTGAAGCAAAAACGGGTACCCGGGTACCGGTAAAAGAAAACCCAACCCCAAAATTCAAATCCCACAGGGGCTTTATAGCTTTACAGTGTATGGACTGCAACTTTCGCAGGCGTCATCTATCCCACGTTAAATCACACATAAAAAGTAAACTTTGTTTTAGTTTTGGTTGCAGTTCTTTTACGGGTACCCGGATACCCGTGTTTACCTTCAATAGAGTACCCGGTTCCCAAACTAACCGTAAATGCACACCACTACTTTTTATGCACTTAAACTTCAGTGTGGCATGAAGCCGCTATCACTGTGCATGCAACAATAAGAGTGGCTGAGCTCAACCTTCCTCAATCCTACAAAATCTTTCAAAACCTACCTAACCGTAAATGCACACCACTACTCTTTATGCACATAAACTTCAGTGTGGCATGAAGCCGCTACCACTGTGCATGCAACAATAAGAGTGGCTGAGCTCAACCTTCCTCAATCCTACAAAATCTTTCAAAACCCTACAAAAACCTCCGGGTGGAATTTCATGGATCTGGGATCGTTTACGTTTTCAGGATTGAGGAAATCACTAACTGGCTATTACCCACACACACACAGACATAAAAGAAAGGACAGAAACTTCACTGGAAAGATGTTCGCTCAATTCGAAAGCTCTTTGACCAGCGTTGTCTAAAGCCGCGGCTAATGGAGGAAAAAGTGGTGAATAATCGGAAAAAGAGTGTAAAGAACATGTAGGCCTAAGTGATGTGTGTAGAATTGGAAGACAATATGAACTAGCATCAACAGAGGATAAAATTACGTTAAACATTGAACATTTACCAATTATTTATCATCTGTGACTAACAAAAACTGATTTGCCAAGCAGTGGCGGATCGGGGGGGGGGGGGGGAGTAATGCACCCCCCCCTCTCCCCTCTGCGTTCAGCGACTGACTACTGTTGTGAAACTAGTTAAATGGGACAACAATTAATAATTGAAATGGTAAAGTTACTAAATTTATTCTCGAATTGCCTTAGAATGCAGGAGAAAGCATTGTAGATTTCAACATTTTCCGGGGGGGGGGGGGGGGGGGGGGGCTAGCAGGGCGTGCCCCCGCCCCTTCATATCAACATCCTCGTTTTTCTGAAAGCTACATTAGCCCCTGCCAAGTCTAATTTTGTATTGTTGTAGAAAATCACCATAATGAAACACTGTAGGGTTCCACAAAAAATTGGAAAACTATCATTTGTTGTGTACATGTACATAATAAAAAAGGGACATTTGGCTAATTCCACAACAAAAGACTCAAACACCTTTAGATGAAATCTCCATACATGACATTTCCATAATAATTTTGTTTACAAAGAAAAACTTTCTTTTACTCTCCTACAATTTCACAGCTCAAGAAATCAAACCAGCTTTGAAATCAAAACTCCCAGACAAAAAAACCCCAAGAAACCGATCATCTGTAAATTTAGAGACCAGACGTTCGTCATCTTTAAGCAGTGAAGTCTTTTCAAACTAATGTCATTTCAAATGCCAAGGATGTTTACATCCAGGAAAGGCAGTCGGAGAATTAATAAAGGTCTTACACATTGCTAGGCTTGCTGGCCTCTGTGTTGACATGCACGTTGTAATAAGTGTCATCCTACAGAAAGAAAACAAATCACCATCGAAATGTCAGCTAATAATACAACCATCTCTCTCTGTCCATATGTCCACATTTTTCTTGCAAAACTTGACGACTGTTTTTGCCACATAGCAGGGCCCAATTCCATAGCGCTGGTAAGCACACGATTTTATGCTAACAGAGCCTCTGTCTTTTGCACGGAGACGGTAAGCAGTAAGCAAAGCAAAAGACACGCTTACCCCAGAGCCATAAGTTGTTTTAATCAGCGACATAAAAATAGAAATCTTCACACGCAAAACTGTTAGCATATCCACCCCATGAAACCGTGCTTAGGGTTAACACAATTTTCTGCAACAGTTAGCACACAACTTTTCTGCTTACTGTCAAGCAGCAATATGATATTAGGTTCTGACATTCAAAGGATTGATTTCCAAAAGTTACTTTTTAAAATTTAATATCGGTCTAGGTGATATTTTTTCCATTCCTGGGAATGGTGTTCAGTGTTAATTTTATAACACCTAAGTAAATCCTTGTCATTTGATTGGAGGATTGTAGGTCACGCGGCATTCATTAATCAAACCATTGCACGGCCTATGTCATTACCATGCATTTTTGGTTCCATTCACCGTGCATTTTCGTCCCATCCCTTTTGATCTATTGCATGCCGCGTGCAGGCTTAGACGTGCAGCGGCGCTATACAATCTTTGCACTATTTAGACCATAGTAGTTATAGCAGTAGAAAACTTGCCTTTGAAGTTGTTTTAAGAACTTACAAGCTAATTTTCATTATTGTCAATGATTTGACTTTTAAACCTTCGTTAGCGTTGAACAAGCTGAAAAAAATACTGAATGTTACAATTTTGTGAGTTTTGTTTGTTCTTTAAAGTGTTATCCTCCAATCGAATGACAAAGATCTACTTGGATGTTATATAAAACAAATAATGAATGTTTTGCATTCGTGTAGTGGTGACAATATTTTCATTCGTTGAAAAATGGAATATTCTATTCAACTCGGCTTCTCCGTGTTGAATGGAACATTCAATCTTTCAACTCTCACCATATTCTCACCATTGCACTCATAAACATTCATTATTTGTATACTATTACAGCTGAGTTTTCTGTACGAATCACTTGTATTTATTTACATATTAGGAAATATTCTGTCCTGTTTATTTTTTTTAAACTAAAAAAAAATGAAAAAAAACTAAATTAAAAATTACCTGCACTGTGTGGGACATTCGAGACCTCGCCCTCTCTTCAGCCAAAAACTTCTCAATATTCCCATTTACAGCTGCTAAAAAAACAAGAATTGGACAAAAAGATATGTCGGTGAATACATGAAAGATGGGTGTGAGGTTGGACCGTTGGTTCAGTGACCCCGGTTCGAATCCCATCCAGGCTAGCTCACAGATTAGCTGTTCAGTCGATTTCTTTTAAACAATTCGTTCTCCCACATCGAAATTAGATTTTGAAAATTCACGTATCGTATGTAACTCAGTGTTATTATATACTGGTACTTCCCTTGAAAATGTTGTCTTTCATGGAGAATACTCTCTTAACATATTGCTCTTGTGTTTTAATCATCAAAAACTATCAACTGAAAACAGTGGCGCACCCAAGGGGGGGGGGTGCCTCGGGGGGCTTGAGCCCCCCCCCCCCCCCCCAAGAGGTTGTCAATTATTTTTTGCTCAATGTATTTTTTATAGTCCCACGATTTGCCCGTGGTGATATGTACATGTATGTGGCCTATTTTCGAGAAGTATAATAGGAATGGCGCCACCAACTCAAAAATAGTCCGTCCCCCCCAAAAAAAAACCCCAATATTTTCTGCGGCCAACAATTTTGGACAACATTTTTTTGAAAATATTCAAACTTCGAAACAAAACTTGACAAAAAGTTGTGAGCCCCCCCCCCCCCAGCCAAATTCTGGGTGCACCACTGACTGAAAAGCCATTCTTGTAATAATATTTCAACACACAAATGAATAGAAGAAAATCCAAACTACACACTGTTTCAAGTCAGCCCTATGCAGGCTAGCTATTTTAAGACTGTCTTAAAACTGAGTCTGTGTCAATCAAATGGTCTTAATTTTAGACGACAGACAGCCAGAACTCTACGACTATCAATTATGTGTATCTTTAGACACTAGACAGCTTTCAGACCGCTTAGTGCAAACTGCCCTGGATCCAGAAAATTTAGGCAAGCATTTTGGACATCTTAATAGCTAAATGATACTCCAGTTTGTCAGTCATTGTCCTTAGTTCGTACTTTGTACAAATATAGTTGTCCGTCAGTCTGGAGTGTCCAATGGGTCAGGGAAAAAAAGCGATCGCTTCACCCTATCCCCGTGTTGTTATGTGGATTATGTATATATTTTCACTATGTTAATAATGGTATTGTGTAAAAATTACTTCGTATTATATTTTGTATGCTTAAATGTTAACATAATGATTTCATGTTTGTGTCATAACAACGTTGAAATAAATGTTCAGTATAGGCCCCCCCAAAAAGTCTCCGGATTCTGGTATGGAGCTTGCCCAAAAAGTGGTGCGGCGACGTGGCTTTTTTTTTTTTTTAACCTGATTTTTTTTGCCTCAAATGTCGGCTGATGACTGCAAATGGTGCCCGACTAAACTTAGTGCAAATATATGGGAGTCCAGAGAGGCCACATAAAGCTTATTCTCGATCATAACCCCACCTAAAAACGTGTTAAAATTGTGCAGCAGCAGGATTCCAGTCAAACCAGTGAGTTTGGCGGTTTTGAGACATCATCTTTCATTGAAAAAAAAACTTTTTCATTGTGCCGACGCGCATGGCTACGACGACGCGTGCGCATACCAGAAACCGGAGACTTTTTTTTTTTGGCCATAGATGTCTGTTCGTCTTTCTTTCTTTCTTTCCCGTTGTTAATTTCAGGACTAGATGACAGTACCTTTAGGGGGTTCCGGTGCAGGTTTGAGTATCGTGGCACAATAATCCTGAATACTCTTGTTGTACTGTTCCACCTTGGTCTCCAAGGCACTGGAGAGTTTGCAGGTGGTCAGGTCGCTCAGGAACTGCTGAAAATCCGGCAAGAGCTCATCCAACACTGTGGGGAAAATAATAGTATAAAATTGAACAAGGCAATTGACTTGAGCGGGGTTTGAACCTTCAACCTCCAGAAGGTAGTTCCGGTGCTCTACCAACTGAGTTATCCAGCCGGATGTACATGTATGTCGGTGGTTTTCCACTTTGTCAGTGTGTTTGTTCAAGAGTGTTAGACAAGAAAATGAAATTGAGAAAAAAAAGAAGGTATTTACAGATTTTAACATGTAACCCATTGGCACCTATGTTTATTCAATGAAGAATCAATAAAACCATAGACTGAAGGGTTAAACAAATGAACAAAAGTCAAAATCGTTTCATGATTTTCCCAAAAGTTTAAACGAAATCCAGTTTTTGTATTTACGTGCTCTGTCTTCCTGTTTGGTACACATGTATTATATTCATACACTAATAACCGTTAACTCCCTAGTGTCCTTTACTTACCACCGGACCAAGTCCGCCAAAATCCATCACTGAACCTGCTTCACATAATGCTTCAGGACCAAATCTGCTGAAATCCACCACAAGACCAACACTACTATAGGTGGATTTTGATGGACTTGGTACTCATGGCTTGCCTACCAAAATCCCCAAAATGCGGGGATGGATTTTGATGGATATGGGGGTGGTTAGAGTTAAGAATCAAGGATGACTGTAAACCTTTTTAATTTACAAAGCATTAAAGCGCCTTACTACCGATACTTGATTACATCTTGGACACTTTAATTGAACCTTTTTTAGTGACCAGCAACTATCTACTGAGTCAACCAGATACACTGTGTACAATTCATTGTGTCTTTAATTAAATTAATATTTCGCTGGGACAAGATCACTGTTCCATGTCTATCATACACTGTACATGCGATGCACACATACCGGGCCAGATGACAGCCTCTACATGTAAGTGTCAACCAAATGTTTAAATGTTTAAACCATGCGTGGAAGCTTCACTAAATATTTACCTAATTAAATGTGGATGCTAATACTTATTTTAATTATTATTTATATTTTATTTCTTTCTGGTAATGAAACCAAGGATCCCTCAAAAGTGCCCTAGGCACTGTAGCCCGAAAGCCTGAAGAAACCTGTAGCTCGAGAAGACAATGAGAAGAAATTACAGTTTTAGAGGTGGGAGGAAAAGCCCAGAGGAATTTCTGAGGAAAACCCACGGAATCAGGTAGGGACTGAAAACCCAATCCACATATTGGCCCGGGCGGGATTCGAACCCGGGTCACAGCAGTGGAAGGCGAGGAAGGTACAGCTACGCCAACCTGACTTGACCCGTTTATTGAAATATCACTCTCATTATCAATTTTGTTCGTTTCCAAACCGCTCAAAATTCAAAGAAGAATGTTCAAAACCTAACCGGTTCAAGTTTCAGCTCAGTGGATTTTACACTTTTTTTTGAGGAAACTGTGAAAAACAATGCTCAACCTTGTTGATCACGAAAAACGATTTCGTTGATAACACTCGCTATTTCCAAAAATTAGTAAAATTGGCTGATCGGTACGTCTCTTGATTTCTTCTAAATGACAGCAAGCCAGACGGAATAATTTCACGGGGTGTTTAGTACCAGTACGATCTTTAATCCAAGTAACATTTTGGAATATAATTTGGTAGGCTACTTCTGGGATGAATGCAAATGATCCTAAAGCATTGCATCCCCCATTTGAGTTCTTGGAACACGTAATTCATTTTTTTTTTAAATCCAGTATTTTTGGGGTTGTGCCTCTTCTTACAATGTATATTAAAGGGAAAATACAACATTTGCAAACATCAAAAAATAAAACTACCAAATCATTTTGAAATACCTTGCTGGACTGTTAGTGAATGACAGTGTAAAGCATCCTGTAAAATCATGGCACCTGGTATACTGTCATTTTCAAGAAAAGTGGTATTTTTGTATCAATTTCCAACACTGATCGGCCGATCAGCGTTGAAAAAACTGGCTTTTTTTCAAATACTGGCCCCAGTTGACCATCGCACTTATTTGCAATCGATTACACACCTATGAACGGGTACAAGCCAGCTAGACTGGTTCCCTGACCTTACAATTCCCCAATGTATGTAAACTGCTCTGTTTCTTCTTAAATGGAGTCAGGGAACCAGACTACAGGAAATTGATTGTTTTTCTTGGTTTTTATAGCATTTTCGAACCCAAAACCTCAAAAAAGTCAGTGTAACTATATTTGCTATATATTTCCAACCCCCCAATTCCATCCATTTCTGAAAATTACAGCAAAAGCAAATGATGTACATTCCCTTTAACCCTACCCTCCCCAACTCCATCAAAATCTATCCCCCCATTTTGGTGGATTTTGGGGGACTTGGTCTGCAGGCCTGGTGTGACTAAATATTGATGGAGTACGATGGACTTGGGCCTGGAGGCCTAAAGCAAAGCATGCATTGGAATCAGTGTGATTGATGGATTTTGGCAGACTTGGTCAAGTACTTAGTAAAAGACAGTGGGGAGTTAGGGTTAAAGCTGTAGTCCATCATTTGCAGCCATCCAAAAAGCAACTGGCGTAATTATTGTTGAAAAACAAACTTGGTTGAAAGATAGTAAGGGAACTAAACTCCCTGTGAAATTATTCTTTCTGGCAAGCTACCGGTATCATTTTGAAGTAATCAACGAAAGAAGGCCTTTCCAACGGTGCGTCTTAAGACACACCGTAGGAACATTTAAATTAGTAGTTCGTTTTGTTATTCGGCAAAGCGCGCGCAAGCTTTGGCACGACGCACATGCGTGCACAGTTGCTATACATGTAATTCGTCGGATCAGTGCGCGACGTCGCATATAGCTGCAATTCAAAACAATTCAAAACATGATTCAGTAAATTTTGATTTGAAATTGAGATCCTAGAATGCTGTTTTTCTCGGAATATACAGCTGAAGCTTAGCTGAAACTTCATCAGGTTAGTTGTTCAGTATCCTTCATTAGATTTTGAACACTTTCATTGCTTCAAACGAACAAAATGCACAAATTACAAATGATGGACTATAGCTTTAACCCTAACCCCCTATGCCCTTGTTGCTTACAACCATCCTCAATCCTCCAAAATTTTTCAACTCCGCCTAAATTTTTCAAAATTGTCAGACAGTCCTGCCTCAAAATGCATTCATCCTCAATCCTCCAAAATCCTCCTCATCCCAAAACTTTGCACTCGTGTTTAAATGAAGGATAACCAACGCCAAATCCTTCAAAATCATCAGACAGTCCTGCCTCAAAATGCATTCATCCTCAATCCTCCAAAATCCTCTTGTGCTTCATTCACCATTCATCCTCAATCCTCCAAAATCCTCATGTGCTTCAATCACCATTCATCCTCAATCCTCCAGAATCCTCATTTGATTCAATCACCATTCATTCTCAATCCTCTAGAATCCTCCAAAACCGCCAGGAGGATTTTGGAGGAGTGAGGTGGGTTAGGGTTAATGTGTCAATTTCATTGTGCCTTTTGGATCTTTGGATTTTGTCTTGTGTTGCCATTTGAGTTAAGACACTCGCTTTTGTTAATTCATTCCACCACATGTACATTTGTACATGTACCAGACGTGTTCTTCATCAAATGTACAAACAAACTTCTTCCTGGAAATGTCCATTGCAAGAACGCTTGAGTCTTAGATTTTCAGATCCAGACATAATATGTACCGTACCAGTGTGGTACTACCGGTATGTAACCGTATGTGCAGCATCCTTCCTGTTCAGATTTGTATGGCATCCAAACAGCTTTTGTATAATTTTGTGAGAGGCTTCTAGATCAGTTGGAAACGAGGAAGTGGCTCAAAAAATATTTCAGGAGTAGGTAAAATTGAAGCACGGGATATGATGTTACATGTAACTCTCCTGCTATCTGATGAACAGTCACAGACAGTCACAAAATCAATCTTTTCCCCTGACATGCCTTTTTAACAGGCTAGTCACCAACAGTCAGATCATATTTCAAGCAAGCACTGTAACTAGCCAAATTCAGTCAAAAGACAAAAGCAGGCAAGTGGTTAACACAGCTGGCTTATCAATCACCTACAGTCAAAGCACAGCAGTATCAACTTCCATAAAGAGTCACAGCCAGCCAATCCTGCTTTATGTAGGCTGGGAGCTCTTAACTGTTAGAAACAGTCACTTGATTGATTTTGACTGAAAGGACAACTTGGCAAAATAAATAAATAAGTACAATCTACAGGTGCATTCCTGAGCCTGATTACATGGAGGTGGTAAAAAGAAAATATTGCAGAGCAAAGTTGCAGGCCAAGCAGAAATCAGCAAAAATATTTTCTATGCTAAGCAAGTTTGTGTACGCTTACTGTACGTCCCTTAACCTTATAATCAAAACGGTGCATGTAAAGCTTTTGCACTACGTTTTTTAAAAACTATTTAATACATTTGGACTATTGGAAAGTTAAAAGAAAATCCTCAAAATCTGCATTTTTTTTGTTTCTTACCACAAAAATCATGGGGGGGCGGGGAACATGTAACAAATACCTTTATTTTAAGGCCCCATTAATTCCATCAGTTTTCGTACATTTTGTACAGTATACATGTACATGTACATGTACCCTACACTATGCCGGAAGTTAAAAAACAGAAAATTCATATCATAGGCCTATAAAGTGTGCGAGCTTTCAAACGTACTTCCTGTTGAAATTTTCCACATTTTTGCACTCAAAGGAAAACTGCAGGGCATAACGACCCAGCTATAACACCTTTACAATGTATGTTTTCAATTCATTATACTTAGTTGCGAAAGAAAAAGGACTGAAATAGTTCTTTCAAGAAATGAAAGAAAAGGTTGCAACAGGAAGAGATTTTACAAGTATGACGTCAATCGCAAAAAACAAATAACCCAGCCCTGTAGTGTGGGTATAAACTCAAATTTGACGGATCTATCGCGCCCAAGTAGCACAGTGTATGCACCTTAAGAGGTCATATATTGACCCCAGAACAAACCTTTGGTATAAATCATTTTCAGCATGCGGTACCCTGGATTACTTTAGCCTAGGGAG